CTATTGTGCCTGCTAATGGTGTAAATATTGCTTTTCAGTACAAATGGGTTCAGCACAGAGGAAGACAGCCGTGGGGGTCATGACCAGATCTGTTGTTTGATTGACAGCAATGAGCGATGTACACGGCAAGCAGGCAATGCCAGTTACAGCAAACGTATACAGAAGACAGTTCAGCAACGAAAACTGAAACTCACCAGGGATGACAGCGTAAGTGTGAGAAGTGAAGTAATGTTGTTTTACGCCATATCCTCTAAAAATGCCCTTGATTTGATTACCTTCAAAGTGTATCACCAAAAATGGAGGCCTGGTGACATGCTGACATTACTGCTGCTTTATACTGTTTATCCTGAACTGAAAACACTTGGCTGGCAAATCGGGGTAAAATTCATATTGTTCAAACCTTTTACTTTCCTTATTTTCATAAATTCTGAGTTTTGGAATATCTTTCGTTGAAATTTTCCTGTCACTTGCTGCCGACTTGTGCTCAAAATCACCCACTGAGCAGGTATAGATAAATCCCAGTGTTGCACAAAATTTCCTCATTCCAGAACGGTTAGAATAGGTTCACTGCTCTCTTTGCTTGTTGTACAAGGTAAAGGGAATCAATCAGGTGGTCATGTGACTTGACTTGTTCCTGAACCCTGACCACAGCGATAGTTGCTTATGTCATTATGGGATTTCTTGGCCTAGATTTTCGAAGCTCTCTTAGCGCTAAGATAGTCGAAAGTGCCATTCATTAACATTATCTTATGACTATCTTAGCACTAAGAGAGCTTCGAAAATCTAGGCCCTGGTCAGACAGACCACTATTATGTTATTGGAGTGCAGCAGTCAGTGACAAATGTACCCACACTGTGATTAAGTAACATGCATGTATGTTTTCTTGTGTTTGGTTCTACTTTCTTTACTTATTATTTATATTTGCTTATGGATTCTGTGTTAACAGCAAAGGATTTTTAGTATGTGCTAAAGTCTGTGGAATAATGTTGGGGTTTTTTTTGTTTTGTTTTTTTAAAGAACAGTTGGAAAAACCATTGCACCTGTACCTCAAAATGTGGTCACTTGCAGTCATGTAGAGTACCTAATGGTCATTTTGACATTACCAGTTGTGTTGGCTAAAATATTGATTATAAAACTCTTAAATAAATTCTGTATTCAGTTGTCATGTAATCAATATTCTTCTTGGCACTTTATATAACTTCTCAATTTATAGCACAATTGACTGGTTTTTTTTAAAACAGTGGGTGTCACTGATTGCCAAGTGATCAAAGGGAGACAACTCTCTCTGCAGACTCGTGTCCCTTTGCTGTCCAAATCCCCACACTTCTGTAGCAATTATCATTTTAATTATTGCCAGCTTCAATGCCGCACTCCTTTGTTTTTACCACATTGTATATCAGGTGGTGGAAACCAACAGTTAGATTTAACAATAAATTTATGGATAACAACTTCTATTTCTTGAGTGCAACATTGAAACTTCTGCGAACCAGTCGCTGTATAAAAATAAAAACTCACATATTTTATGCAGCAGGCCAAATGATGCACTTTTGAAAACCTTCAAAACTTTAGCCATTTTTAGTAAAAGGCAAACTTCTCCTTTATTGTATGTCACAATGTTTCTGAGCTATCCAGCCATTTCTACATTACCAATGATACAGTAATATACCAAACATGTGTTTTGTTTGATATTATGTGTTAGTTTTTAAGGTTTTAAATAGGCGTCACGCTGGTTATTACTCACCTGTAATCAATAGGTGTCAAATATGTGATGACTCACCTGTAATTAAGAGGTGTCACATTGTTTATAACTTGCCTGTTATCAGTAGGTGTCACACGTGTGATGACTCACTCATTTGGTTTGACCTTTCCAGGTGTCACACATCTACATCTGTGACTTTCACAAGAACATGATCCAGAGTGTCCGCAGCAAGCGGAAGAGGAAGGACAGCGAGGACGATCGAGGATCCCCTGATGGAGACGACGATGTGCCAGAGGTACTGGGAAATCTTGTCTTCCAGGGAGTTACCGCTTGTTCAGCTTGACCTGAGTTACTCTACATATGCATGACCCAGGAGGTCATGTGGCACAAACTGCTGGTCGAGTTAACTTCATTAAATAGGGGAGAAAAGAATGTTATTTATGTTGCGTTCGTGCGAAGCATGCATACATGGATTCTTTACACCCCGAATCGGAAACATTAAACCTTCTGTAGCTTCTTTTTTAAAGAAAGTTAGGACAGTGCTGATGATTTTTCGATTTAAACAGTGATCTTGTCTCGGTTGCTTGGACATGTTGACAATCAACTGACAAAGGTGCATCCCTTGACAATAATAGACCGTACCAGTTGTGACACGGTCACGTAATGCATTAGTATTCACTTGATCAGGTCAAGCTGAACAAGCTGTAGGATGTTGACGATCCAACTGGAATACTTGGACAGAATAGATTTACTGTGACATTCCAGGGTTGCATAGGTCCCCAGTAGCCCATGCTTGCCGTACTGTGGGGACTCGGGGCGGTATAAATCCCCAGTAGCCCATGCTTGCCGTACTGTGGGGACTCGGGGCGGTATAAATCCCCAGTAGCCCATGCTTGGTGTGGGGACTCGGGGAGGTATAAATCCCCAGTAGCCCATGCTTGCCGTACTGTGGGGACTCGGGGCAGTATAGGTCCCCAGTAGCCCATGCTTGCCGTACTGTGGGGACTCGGGGCGGTATAAATCCCCAGGTTGCCATGCTTGTCTTACTTAGGGGATTCAGGGTAGAATAGGTCCCCAGAACTCCATGTTACTGAGGGGATTCAGGGTAGAATAGGTCCCCAGAACTCCACGTTACTGTGGGGATTCAGGGTAGAATAGGTCCCCAGAACTCCATGTTACTGTGGGGATTCAGGGTAGAATAGGTCCCCAGAACTCCATGTTACTGTGGGGATTCAGGGTAGAATAGGTCCCCAGAACTCCATGTTACTGTGGGGATTCAGGGTAGAATAGGTTCCCAGAACTCCACGTTACTGTGGGGATTCAGGGTAGAATAGGTCCCCAGAACTCCATGTTACTGAGGGGATTCAGGGTAGAATAGGTCCCCAGAACTCCATGTTACTGAGGGGATTCAGGGTAGAATAGGTCCCCAGAACTCCATGTTACTGTGGGGATTCAGGGTAGAATAGGTTCCCAGAACTCCATGTTACTGAGGGGATTCAGGGTAGAATAGGTCCCCAGAACGCCACGTTACTGTGGGGATTCAGGGTAGAATAGGTCCCCAGAACTCCATGTTACTGAGGGGATTCAGGGTAGAATAGGTCCCCAGAACTCCATGTTACTGAGGGGATTCAGGGTAGAATAGGTCCCCAGAACTCCATGTTACTGTGGGGATTCAGGGTAGAATAGGTCCCCAGAACTCCATGTTACTGAGGGGATTCAGGGTAGAATAGGTCCCCAGAACTCCATGTTACTGAGGGGATTCAGGGTAGAATAGGTCCCCAGAACTCCATGTTACTGTGGGGATTCAGGGTAGAATAGGTTCCCAGAACTCCACGTTACTGTGGGGATTCAGGGCAGTATAGGTCCCCAGAACTCCATGTTACTGTGGGGATTCAGGGTAGAATAGGTCCCCAGAACTCCATGTTACTGTGGGGATTCAGGGCAGAATAGGTCCCCAGAACTCCATGTTACTGTGGGGATTCAGGGTAGAATAGGTCCCCAGAACTCCATGTTACTGTGGGGATTCAGGGTAGAATAGGTCCCCAGAACTCCATGTTACTGTGGGGATTCAGGGTAGAATAGGTCCCCAGAACTCCATGTTACTGTGGGGATTCAGGGCAGAATAGGTCCCCAGAACTCCATGTTACTGAGGGGATTCAGGGTAGAATAGGTCCCCAGAACTCCATGTTACTGTGGGGATTCAGGGCAGTATAGGTCCCCAGAACTCCATGTTACTGTGGGGATTCAGGGCAGTATAGGTCCCCAGAACTCCATGTTACTGTGGGGATTCAGGGCAGTATAGGTCCCCAGAACTCCATGTTACTGTGGGGATTCAGGGCAGTATAGGTCCCCAGAACTCCATGTTACTGTGGGGATTCAGGGTAGAATAGGTCCCCAGAACTCCCATGTTACTGAGGGGATTCAGGGTAGAATAGGTCCCCAGAACTCCACGTTACTGTGGGGATTCAGGGTAGAATAGGTCCCCAGAACTCCATGTTACTGTGGGGATTCAGGGTAGAATAGGTCCCCAGAACTCCATGTTACTGAGGGGATTCAGGGCAGTATAGGTCCCCAGAACTCCATGTTACTGAGGGGATTCAGGGCAGTATAGGTCCCCAGAACTCCATGTTACTGTGGGGATTCAGGGCAGTATAGGTCCCCAGAACTCCATGTTACTGAGGGATTCAGGGTAGAATAGGTCCCCAGAACTCCATGTTACTGTGGGGATTCAGGGTAGAATAGGTCCCCAGAACTCCATGTTACTGTGGGGATTCAGGGTAGAATAGGTCCCCAGAACTCCATGTTACTGTGGGGATTCAGGGTAGAATAGGTCCCCAGAACTCCATGTTACTGAGGGGATTCAGGGCAGTATAGGTCCCCAGAACTCCATGTTACTGTGGGGATTCAGGGCAGTATAGGTCCCCAGAACTCCATGTTACTGTGGGGATTCAGGGCAGTATAGGTCCCCAGAACTCCACGTTACTGAGGGGATTCAGGGTAGAATAGGTCCCCAGAACTCCATGTTACTGTGGGGATTCAGGGTAGAATAGGTCCCCAGAACTCCATGTTACTGTGGGGATTCAGGGCAGTATAGGTCCCCAGAACTCCATGTTACTGTGGGGATTCAGGGCAGTATAGGTCCCCAGAACTCCATGTTACTGAGGGGATTCAGGGCAGTATAGGTCCCCAGAACTCCACGTTACTGTGGGGATTCAGGGCAGTATAGGTCCCCAGAACTCCACGTTACTGTGGGGATTCAGGGTAGAATAGGTCCCCAGAACTCCATGTTACTGTGGGGATTCAGGGTAGAATAGGTCCCCAGAACTCCATGCTTAAAATCTATTAATCTTGAATAGAACAGATGTTGTCAATGCAACTTGAGCAAATAGACTGATTTTTTTTCCATTTTGATAAGGACAAGAACTAACATCATTTCAGATGTTCTTTCTTCATAAATATTTTTCACATATATACTAAACAACATTAGAAACCCACCACCCATATAATACAAAATATCCCCGTCAGACTGAAATGTACCCATGATATCTGAGCATTGTCGGTGCATTTCAGTGTGGTGCATTTCTGATGTTGTTAAGTATATCTGATAATATATTAACCTTTGGATGTTGTGTATATTTTTATTATTTTGTTTCAGATTGACTTTTTCCAAATGCCTGTAAATGCCCTACGACGATACAAACGCCATTTCAAAATCTCAACACGCCCTGGCCTCAACAAGGCACAACTGGCAGAAGTAAGCACATCTCTCACACCAATCATAACACACTAGTTTTTGAAGCTGTAATTTTGCAGAGTCATCAGAATGAGGATGAGATTGTCAGCAAAGCTATGATCAGTGCTAAGATTGAGATTTTCCAAAAATGGTATCCACAAATGGTATCACTCTTTGTGAAATGAGTGAATGCCCATTACACTGTCACATCAGCGAAGTCGGGTGGTCAGGCTCGCTGACTTGGTTGACACATGTCATTGGTTCCCAATTGCACAGATCGATGTTCATGATGTTGATCACTGGATTGTCTGGTCCAGACTCGATTATTTACAGACCACCGCCATATAGCTGGAATATTGCTGAGTGTGGCGTAAAACTAAACTTACTCACTCACATCAGCGAAGCAAAGACCATTCAGCATAGCACCAGTGTTTTCTCATGTTTGTAAAGGGGGATAACTCTAGAGCACACTGGTTGTGACTGACCACTTTGATAATTCAGCGACATGGTACCCCACTGTTTTCCTTTTATGACACTCACAATAATTTAGTGCCATGTACCACAATCATTTTTATTTTTAATTTTTTCAGGCTGTTGCTCGACATTTCCGCACCATCCCCGTTGTTGAGAAAGAGGCTCTGACCTACTTCATCTATATGGCAAAAAATTACAAGAGTCGGTTTGACCAGAAATACATCGACACAGTCCACAGCTAGTCCATGTCCTGTTTATTTCATGTATATTTTACAGATATTGTTTTGATGTTACATTTGAACTCCACTCTCATTTTGTATGTTATTGTGTGATACCAACTGGACCATAAAAATATGGGAAATAAATAAAGTGAATATGACATGTCTTCTTTACATATTTCAGAGGTACAGATAAGCTGCGTATCTGCGTAAATTCTGCAAATATTTATGTGAAAAGACAATTCCTTTAATGTCTGTTGCATACAAGTCAGTTTGGATTTTGTAAATACTCCTTGAATTTGATCTTACATGTATACACACAAAACTGTCAAATCTTATTTTGGGTGTTACTGAGGATAGATAAAGTAATTGAGGTAGATTGAGAGGTTCTATTTCAGCACATGAACTTGGCAACTTGCAGTCTTTTTTATGGTTTATTATATTTTTTACAATTAGTGGAATATGGCTAAATACATAAATGAGTTTGAGTGAGGTAGGTTACTCACGTAGGATACCCAATTGAGATGAACACAAGCGAGTACATAACTCAATGACTCAAAAGGTTATCTGCAGCTTTAGTGTCAGTTTAAGATTCAGGTGTGCAGGTCCCAAGTACCCAGGAGCCAGTTATTGATGGATCGTGTGACTTCATTGTTGGGAAGGTGTGCAGTCTAAGTAAACATAGTCTCAGTATTATTCGTTACACAGCTATACAGAGTCTCACAACCCTAGAAAAAAGGTTGCGTCATCTAACCTTTGACCGACCTATGACTGTCCAATCAAACGCGAGACGGCCTAATGGATTTAACCAATCAGACAACGACTACTTGTTAGTGTTCGGTGGGACTTACAAAATGGTTTTGTGATTTTCTCTTCCCTGGTCGCTGACACTGATCTATCAACAAACGAAAATCTTCATAAAAAAACCCAGATATATGACTTGCAGTATATACACTTAGGGCTTTCTAATGACATGGTTACGATTAGCTTATATTTCCGCAAGATGACATCCTGGAATATTGAAAAAATGTTCAGGGACTGTTTCTCCATGTGTAACTCTCGAAAGCGATCGTGCGGAAATAACATTCGTCATCGGTTGCATTCTTGAGGTAAAGGGTTAAACGGTATGTGTGAATGTTAAATTTGCGAATATGTAAGCTGTGTTCTGATTGGTCAGTCCAAAAGGTTAGCTGACGCAACCTTCTACTAGGGTTTGTAAGACTCAGTATAGCCCTGTAACGAATAATACTGAGCCTAAGTTTACTTAGACTTGAACCGCCTCCGTGGTGTAGTGCTTAGAGCGTCCCCCCGGAAAGCGTCATACCAAAACACGTTAAAATATGGTACTTGTTGGTCCCTGCCTGGCGCTCGGCATTAATGGGAACATCAAGGACTGGTCAGCTCGGAGTCAGTATAATGTGTCTGAGTGGGGTATTCATGCTTCACTGCGGCATGGTATCTCAGTGGGCTAGCACTATAAAAAAAAACAGCTTCAGTCTGGGCTAGTACAAGCAGCCGCAAATACACATACACACGCATGCACGTCGTCATATGAGCGAAATATTCTCAAGCACGACGTTAAACCCAATTTCACCTCACCTCACCTCCTGTTATGTGATGGTGGTCTGTAAATAAGGCTTCAACCAGTCATTCCAGTGATCATTAGCATTGATCTACCTGGGATACCGAGACATGTATGTATGACTACACCTCTTGGAGCAAGCATTCTTTCTGAAGTCCAATTATAACTCTGCGCTTCACAGGGTGTTTCGTCTGTGATAGTTTTAGAAAATATAATAAGCAATGTAAGGTAACAGGCAGACAAAATGTGTAACAAAATGAGACAAGGTGGTGTCGATTTTGTGATTGAAAATACCACTTCATATTTGTTCATTTGTCTGATCAATATTTATTGATACAACATTACAAATTGATTGAAATAAAACATACCTTTAAACAGGAAATAGAAAGACAGGTCCTAAATGAGGTGGTGCACCAGTTGATAAACAATGTCAATACAGGGTGTCACCACTATTTGCTTTGATACAGACCAGGCTCAGAGAGATGGGGGAAGCTGTGGTGCCTTGAACACAGGATGATGGAGAACAGCCCATGGATGTTGATCCAGATATCAAGCAGGTGTTGTTCCAACTGAGCTAGTGTTACCTGTCGAATCTTATCCAGTCATAGGCAGGCGTCCATCATCTAGTCCCAGACGTGTTCTGTTCATGAGGCGTCTGGAGAAATGGCGGGATGTGGCAATACAGCAATGTTATGTTTTCTCAAAATGTATGTCACAACACCTGGAAATTGTGTTCTATCCGATGACATTCCACTCCCCCACTGACAAAGTTGAGTTAAGCAAGCGTCCCTCGATCTTCTGCATGGGTGCCTGTGTACCCTTGCAGACCATCAAAGTTATCCAGATGAAACTTGGACAGTGTAATGTCGCAGTCTTTTCATTTCAACTGCAGATGATGTCTTCACAAACTGGTATCGCAGAACATGGGGTCAGAGGCACTCCCTCCATCGGGTTGTGCACGTTTCTGGCGGTAATTGGTATCAATCCAAAATTGTCTGTTTATGTTGGAATAGATTATTGTAGATGCACCAACCCAATATGGTTGTCTTGTTGGCGTGATGTCTCTCATGGATGACCGGACCCTGGCAAATCGTGAGCTGCGCTCTGTAGATAGTGTCTCGAAAGAGACGATACTACGTTTCGATTAACATGAATATGTCTGACATTTAGTTTGTGCCATTCCTGTTGACAGCGTATCCATAGCGCGCAGAAGTTGATTTTCAGCAACCCGGGAACACTAGTAACCCAGCGGGCACACAACGTTGAATCAACGTTGAATCAACGTTGAATTTTGGTTGTTTGGTTGATCAACCTTTCATAAACGTTGATTCAACGTTTATCATGCGACCAAAGAAAGTTAGTCGAGATTCGTTTAGTTGTCAACGTTGTTTCAACGTAAGGAACCAACAAAAATGTCAACTAATTGTTTCCTTGGCAAATTTGATACATAATTCATATTGGAAATAGGTATCCAACTTAGCAACTATCATTTCGGAACATTATTTTCATAAAAGATCAAGATCGAGCTAGTGACAGATATAATCTTATATATTATTTGATCGGCATCGATCAACGGACGGAAATATTACGAAAATCGCAGTTTTAGGTATAAAGTCATCAGTTATCCAAATTGCATTACATTTGATATTTTCCCACAAAACTGTGAAAATTGTATAATTCCCGACTTTTTCTTTCAAACACAAGCCAGATGTTGACCTTCGATCGCCTCGTTTGGCCATATCCGGACATGCGCACAATTATCGCGCGCGCAAAGGCAGCTGATCGTTGTCATTTCACTTTGGCGAAGTTCAACGCAATATCGTTCTATTTTCACCATCTTCACGGCATGCTGGTGTTTATTTGGTAAGTATGTCCTTAATGTATGATGAAAAACGTAGGAATGCCGTTTAAATCTAGCAGTAGCAAGAAACCCGAATTAGGGCTCATGTTTTATCTCACAAGGTTACCGGTATGTCACAGTACATGTTTCTCAAAATTTAGTGGAAGCCCGTGATTTCCATGAACTTGTTTTGTTATTTTTCAATATATTTGCATGCACATATTTGGCATTTTATTATATAATCGAATAAGATTTCCTTTCGTACCCATCACCTGATTTGAATTTTGCAAATATACATTTTCAAATAATCAATGAATTACATCAATATAAGGAACCGTTCATAATTAAATATATGGCTGCGGGTGGGGGTGTTGATTGTAAGGGTTGAGGGTGGGGTGGGTGTCACCCATTTTGTTCAGGGAGCTAAGGGTCAGCATTTTGTACAAACGCACTATGTTTAGAAATTATGGGAAGGGGAGAGGGCGTCATAGATAATGTACATGACATGCAGGGTGGGCCGTCTCTTATTCTGTACATACTCATACACTTTTGGGTGGGGGTGGGGTGTAATTCACATTGTGCATAAAAATCAACATCACCCCAAAGCCATACATTATGAACGATCCCTAAGGGCAGCTATACAAAATCGGATAGGATTAATCAACATTTTATATTGCATCCCATTATTATGAACATTTGTTCGGATGCATTGAGCACGCCCTGAACCCTGTCAACATATGTATATTGTTGGGGGGAGGGGGTGGTGGAGAATGGCGTAAGGAAATGCAACGAAAATTTTCACTTTAAAATGTCTTGTGAAAGTCTTTGTTAAGGATGAAATTGTATATAATTTATTTGAACTTTTATTTATTTACAAAAAGTGTAACTTCACTAATGATTCTTTGATGGGACAATTAACAAAACTGCACCCACAGACTTTCATTCTTACACTTGTTTGGAAGGGATATGATAATTCATGTCTCTTAAAGGTTAAAATCTTACATACAAAAGAAGTAATTTTAATGTAAGGAACATTTAATTATGAAATAAGATTATTTTAATGGAATTTGCAGAAATCTCATCTTCGAAGACTGGGTGGCAGCAATTTTGTGGATCACATAAAAGGAGCAAGGCTAAGGTAACACGTTTTTAACATTTCACTTGTTTCCAGTATATCCACCACAAAGTTTAAGAGAAAGATGATAATGCTCTTTCATTACCACCTGTTTTGAATATTTGTGATAATGTTTGGTCTTTTTTTGGTGATAATAGTTGGTCTTTATTTTCATTTATATATTAAGGTTGATCATTTAAGAGAAAAATTGACAATGATTTCTCCCGGAGATGTTTAGTTTAATGAGCACTCCCTTGCTTGGCGCCATATTGTTTTTCGCCGTAAACAGCTGGATGCAAGATAGCACGCGAGAGGACAGAAGTCATACATTTATAGATATATAGAGATGTTTATTGCTGGGAAACACACTCTTCAGGTATTTGGTCAGCTGTAGAATTTGAATATGATGTTTTTTTATTATTGTCAAAGGGTAGGTTTTTCATTATTTGCAATCTAATATGTGTGCAATGAAACATACTGAGATTTGGAAGAGTCCATTATTTAAAGTACAGGTGTTGTTAGATATCAGCATTTTATGTACATGTTCCCTTGTTAAGATCATCTATCGAGTATATTAGAGAGAAGGTGTATATTTGTAGTGTTTTAAATCAGAGTTATTTTCAGTGTATGACCTACATTTCAATATGTTTTGGCCACCTGTCACCCCTTTGGTCAAATAGAGTAGGACTTCCATTTCTTGAATTGAGAGTCAGAGATGCACTGTTTCAAGAATTTGCGTGTGCCAGCGATGTTTGTTTACGAGTACATTTACGTCTTTTTGAGTGTAGATTGGAGCTGTAAGAGATGTTATTCAATGTCTTATTATTCATGGTATGATAGATTATTTCTGGCAATGTAGAGTTTAATCTCATTATTTCATTGTTCATGATTCAGAGAATCATAGTTATGACGTCGCAGATAATACGCACACATAATTCATTATATGAGAGATTTTCTAAGCGTTCCTATAAGAGATTAAGTGTAAACATTTATGAATTATAAAAAAGTTATTTATTTGAGTTTTATGGGTGTACAAATGACAAAGAGAGAGAGAGAGAGTAGATAATAGAGAATATATTGTATACTTATGAGAGCTCATTATTGTTTTCAGAACTCCATGATCCATACTTCCTTGTGTTTGGGAACAAATGGTGTTGGGAGACCTCCCACAATAGACTTGTTCTTTGACCTGTGAACCACCACCCATTTTGTTTTCTTATCATTTAATGTAAAATGGCTTTTGTTACAATTTATGACTCCTGGTAGCAAAATTGCTACATCAGTTCAACTCCTATTAATTTGAAATAATCATTTCCGAGAATCTCTAAAGAAAACTAAATCTGACAGAATAACAACAATCTTCCATTGTTTTGCAGGACAATGTCAAACAATTTGATGTCAAGAATGAATGTTGATGGGCAAAACGGCAATTTTTCTTTTAAGAATACAAGGTTGTATTCAATCATCTCTGGTAAGTTAATTACCAAGTGCAGCATTTTCATCATGACCATAGCAAATAATATATGACAGTAAAGCATCGTCTAATTCATCCTACCGGTAATTCATAGTCTAATTATATAATCAACTTGCAATTGAGGATTTTCTTTGAAAATGTTTAAGAAAACTTCCATTCCTTCGGTTGAAAATATAAATTGTTTACACTTTTCGTCATATTTTGTATTGATGCTGTTCATATGTTCACATGCCAAGTTACAGCAGTGAAATGAACCTTTCAAGTGATTGATTAAACAAATACTTGAATCATATAAGACAATATATCTTCCATATGACTTATTCATGTATTTAAATATAAAATTTCAGAATGTGTCCTATCTCAAGGGAATGAGATGGGAATGCATCCGAAGCAAATTTCAAGAAAGAGTTAGGAACGTTTCTGAAGTATCCACCTGACCGCCAGGCAGGGAGTGGCAGAAAGAAGAGGAGCTGATAATTGTTTTTGGAGTTGTAATTGTGTTGAAAAATCTGAACTGTGGTATTGAAATTGGTGGTGTAAATGTCACTTTGATGCTATATGCAGATGATATTGTGTTATTAGCACAACAGAGATCACCTACAGACTATGTCATGTGTGATGTTTTACATTATGCATTAAACCACGTTTTCTGTGTGCGTGTGTGTTCATAAAGATTTCATGAAAAGTGACTTGTTTTATGTGCTGTCTTCAGGTATAGTTCCTGGTCATCTTGGATCCCTTTCATGGTGAAAGTAATTGCATTGTGTTTATTCAGGGTCTGTCTTAGAGCTGAAATTCAGACAAAATGTCTTCTCGGACAATTTTCACCTTTTCAAGGTAACAATACAACAGTAAATAGTTAATCCTAATTTGGAATACTCTTTCTTCTAACTGGAATTATACGTCCAACTGACATAAAACTTAAATGAACATTATATTGAATGTGGAATTTTAACCAAGTATTTTATCAGGTAAATATTTTTACTGCAATTTTCTGTTTGAATACTGTTTATTGCAGGTAGCTTTTTGGGTATTTTAGCTGGATGCAGGAGTTTGGTGCTACTTTATTGTAGTTTAAAGATGAAGTGCGAGTCTATTTACAGGAAAGCGTAATACCTCCCAGACACAACCACGGAACAACCCATTTTCAACGTTAATAATATGTCAGACTTCAACATTGATTCCACGTCGGATATCTACGTCAAAAAAACTTTCATATACAACCTATTTTCAATCTATTTTCAACGTTGAGGATCAACCTATTCTCAACGTTGATAATCGGTCAAAGTTCAACGTTGATTCCACGTCAGATATCTACGTCAAAAAAACTTTCATATACAACCTATTTTCAATCTATTTTCAACGTTGAGGATCAACCTTTTTTCAACGTTGATAATCGGTCAAACTTCAACGTTGATTCCACGTCGGATATCTACGTCAAAAAAACTTTCATATACAACCTATTTTCAATCTATTTTCAACGTTGAGGATCAACCTATTCTCAACGTTGAAACAACGTTGATGTGCCTGCTGGGAAGTTATCTTGTACCGAAGGTAAGTTTCCGAACCTTGACAAGTACACGTATTTAAGCTTCTGGACTAATTACGGGATTCATTATTTTTAGAGCGAAATGTTTCGATGCAAACACGGATAGAGACTCCCTTCATTCAATGATGCTTAATCAACTCGTTTCAAATTACAACATAAAGGTAAACTATCACCTCAACATCAGTACATACGTGGTTGATAGCGCCAAGTCAATCGGGCGATGGTAATGTTTCGATAGTGTTCTACGAATGGTTGTTGGCGCCTCGGGAACAGTGAGGTCTATCGGAGTCATCCATAAATCGGATGACCGGCAAGGGGATGGCATTCAAAATGTGGCACGACGGCGGTATTCTCTACTTCCTGTTAATTATATTAACCACCGAGTGTCCTAGGTTCTGTAAATATTTTTAAACTGCAGTCATACGAAACGCAACCCCACACCATCCCCGAGCCACGACGAAAGGTGAACGGCATGCTGACGCATGCGTTGTTCAACGTCGACAGTTTGGTAGAGACAGCATTATGGCAAAGGGAGTCATCACATCTCATGGTGGGACACAACTTGTCATCGTCAATGGCGGTTTGACAGGTCTGCGATACAGGGACGAGACCATTGGGCCTCGTGTGCAGCCGTTCATTTAAGGACAGAGACGTAACTTCAGGCTTCAGCAAGATAATACTGGTCCACATGTCGCTCATGTTGTGACAGATTTCCTGAGACAGCAGAACATTCCGGTACTCCCCTGGCCATCTGTTTCTCTGACCTGTCCCCTATCGAGCACTCTTGGGATGAAATGGAGCGATGTTTACGTCAAACCCAGAATCAGCCGTTGACATTTGTTGAATTAGGGTCTCTGTTGGTTCAGACATTGGAACAATATTCCCTGAGCTTTCTTCAATCCCTGCATGGTGTCTATTCGGCGTCATTGTCAAATCTGCATCAACGCCAATAGTGGACACACGACACTGAATTTGTTAATTGACTTTGACACATCTCTTCAAGAGCTTGTCATGATGACTAGTGTCAAATCATACAGATTTTGATATTATCAACAGTTAAACAGTGATTAAGGAAAGCACCACAAATCATGTTATTATCTTTTTGCATTACAAATGGCATAACATCAAATAGTGCAGTTACTTTATTCCAGTGGAATATATAAAAGAACGTCAAAATTTATTCGTTTATTGTATTTCTTTTAAAAAGGCAATAATTAAATAAAAACAATTCTATTAAAAGATCCTTCACAAAAGATGATTTGAAATATTTATCCCTTGTGATACAAACAAAATCAACAGTCAGACAGTACATGCTTGATCGTGATTCTTTCATCACAACGGATACAAAACGATGGATCTTCACCATTCAATAAATATTCATGTCATCGAGGGGCCAATAGGACATTGTCGCATGATGACGTCCTCAAATCTGGACTGAAAACCCAAGTAGGTGTAACCGATAGTTGCTTTAATTTCATGCTTAATACTCATTATTTTGCACTCTAAGTCTAAGTTCTGAACAGTTCTGAACACTAAGAGAACACAGATTTAAGAACGCAGTCGGAGTGTTCTGATTTAGACACTATGTGTTCTGTCGCCAGAACAGTAGTGTTCCACTTACAGAACGCTCGTGTTCTAGATTTCAGAACACTCTTTGTGTGTTCTGTATGTGTTCAATTCAGAATACCCACGGACACCTCAAACTTCCACCAGCCTAACATGAACGAATAAAAAACAACAACAATATGAAATGATTCAAAACTTAATTAACACCTATATTGAATACGAAAACGTGTTATTGTAATTATCGTTTTGTTTGACCGCGGGCGGCTAAATGGAGCGTAGGAGAAGCTAACTTTAAACACTGAAAAAAGAGCTCCTATATCTCAGGGTCGGGCAAGGATAAGTTACCTTCCCCCATTTCTCTCACTTCAACGGATACTTAGGTCATTTAAAACTTAAGCAAATAAAATTATTAAATATATATATATGTGTGTAAATGTGTTTTTGGTAATGAACTCTAGAATATAACGTTAGTAAATTTCCAATAATCACGGGGAAATCTCGTTTGACCTGTGGCGCCAAACGACTCATGGTAGCGTTGGGGAAGAGACAACTGCGCATGCTTATCATGACTTCACTTGTTAGAACATCAGCGGTTCTAAAAAGAACACACGCCGTCCGAATAGATATCAAAACAAACATTATAGAACAGATACCGTCCTAATGTGTTCATTTTATCAAATGTAAAGGAACACTATGCCTTCTGATAGTCTACTTTAGAGGTTGCTTATTCAGTTATTTACCAGATTTTACCCAGTTATTTAGAACATTTTGTGGAATCATTTTCCTCTTGCAAAATACATGTATTTTTATTCTCCCATGGGAAGAAAGGGTTAAAGTTAGAATTATTAACAATTTCTTTAAAACCTTTTTTTAATGTCCACTTGCGTAATGTTCAACATTGTCTGAAAATATATTAACAGGTTCATGATTATGTTAAAAGTATTTTATTAATTTGATTTAAGAAATCACAGTCTTCGGATAACGCATTGAAATTAGAACACCTACCTCACAGACTTTGAACACATGTGTTCTAAAACAGAACACGCCTGTTCTAAATATGGCCTATTTGTTCCAATTCAGAACATGCACGGACGGGTCCACTGTTCTGCTTGAACACTTGTGGTTTAGAGCGTAGGGAAGCCCAATGGTTGAAGCCACCGTTCGTCACGCTGAAGGCCCGAGTTCGATTCCCCACATGGGTACAATTTGTAAAACCCATTTCTGGCGTCCCCCGCCGTGATATAGCTGGAATATTGCTAAGGTTGGCCATACTCACTCACTCGTGATTTTGGAGGTGTTGCACGATCAGGCATGATTGTGTTCGGGCAATGCGCCTGTTTAAATTTATTGGTGGTGTTGCGTTTGGGCGATGGAACATATAAAGGGACATATGTGTTAAGTGGGTGAGTGAGGTCTATTCGAACGACGTTCCCAAAGACCAGCAGCCTCCTTCTGATGGCACCGGTGGAGAGTCCAAGTCTCTATTGTCGTCTTAGTTCTTCGGCACGGGACGTTGGATTGCGTCTTTATCTCATCACGGTCATTGGTCTTCCTTGTTCTTCCATGTGAAAAAACGTCTTTTAAATCCGAAAACTGCAGTGCACGTTTTGCAATAGCCAATGTGCTTGGCCTCTTGGAAGACATGAACGTGTGACCCTTAGCATTTGCGGTGTCGCGTTGAGCACGGGTTGCACATGTGCATTCTGGTATGCTGGGGTATGATCGACTGTTCGAAAGAAATTATTAGAAAGTTACCCTTGGATTCAGGTGGCGTTAAATGAATGTTCATGTGTGTAGATGGACGGTCATTTCTACCTGGAGGTCTATGTTAAGGTTTTGGAGTTGCTTAACGCTAAGATCGCAGTGTACAACGGCACCCTGGTGGTTCTGTAATGAAACACTAACGTATGTGTAAAATGTATGTTTTTAAAATATACTGAAAGGCAAAAGAAACGTCGTAATATTGGAAATGACATTTAAGTGTCAGTGGAGTATTTGAACCTTTTTTAAAAAAGAATATACGCCACTGAAATGCAGTACCAACTTTCTCCAGAGAAGATACCCCCCCCCCCTCCATTGTCTCCCACGCCAGTTTTGCCGCTGTTGTGCCCACAAGAGGGTGACGTTGGGTGAATATGGGTCCCCTGGCAGGACGTCGACGAAACAGGTTCCTGGCTTGGAGATGTCGCCGAATGGTTCAGTCAATGACTGGTCGCTTGTGGTTTCCTATGGTCTCCCGAGCTGTTTCTGTGGCCCTTGCGAATCGGTCTTGCAGGTGTTGATGGACGATATGACGGTCCTGGCGACGTGTTGTTACACGGGGTTGACCACTACGTGGACGGTCATCAGTGCTGTTGGGATCGCTGTATTGCTGTCTAAGACGTTCTATCTTTCGTACACTGCAATTGAAGTCATTAGCAATGACTTGAGCACGTTGACCAGTGTGTAGACGTCCAATGGCTTGTAGTCGTTGATCTCTTGTTAACCTAGCCATAGCTGCTGTGTTAAAAAAACAAATGAATGACTGACATTCAAGCCGACAATTTATTCCTGAATGCATGCAGGATGCACGTGCATCTCTATTTCAATGTTGGGTTTGTGTTGACTCTTCCCTTTCCACAAACAAAAACATTTCTAACCTCAATCTCAAGCAATACTTTATTGGGCAAAACAGGCTATACGACCACGATTCATGTTTTCCTCAAACTTGACTTCCGGTGTATATTTAAAGAAATAGGTTCAAATACTTCATTGATACTTAAATGTCATTTCCAATATTACGACGTTTCTTTGCCTTTCAGTATATATGTAAAACAAAACGCTCACGGATTTGTCATTAGGAACCCTTCCAGTTTCCTTGATGTTCATGGCAATAGCGCTTTCATCCTTTGTCCGTCCGTCCGTGCGTGCAAATGGTGTAGCGCCATGGATGGTGGCGGAATTGGGTTTAACATCGTGCTTGAGAATATTTCGCTCATATGACGACGTGCATGCGTGTGTATGTGTATGTGCGGCTGCTTGTACTAGCCCAGACTTAAGCTGGTTTTATAGTGCTAGTCCACTGAGATACCATGCCGCAGTGAACCATGAATACCCCACTCAGACACATTATACTGACTCCGAGCCGACCAGTCCTTGTTGTACCCATTAATGCCGAGCGCCAGGGAGGGACCAACAAGTACTATATTTTAACGTCTTTTGGTATGACGCGGTCGGGGATCGAACCCACGAACTTCCACTCTCCGGGCGGATGCTCCAACCACTACTCCACGGAGGCGGTCTGTAGCGCCATGGGTTATTGCTCAAAATGTCAGTTATTTTATTCATTGCCTGGTCCAGACTCAATGTTTAATAGATGCCGTGATTTAGCCGGAACATTGTGAGTAGTTTGTTATACAGATATGAGGCCCACTGGAACATGGGGAACAATTCTGTACTGTGCCTCTTTCTTGTGTTCTTGGACCTGTGGGTTAGAACTGATCCTCAGTAACCCATGCTTGTGGTAAGAGGTGACTAACAGGATAGGGTGGTCAGGCTCGCTGACTTGGTTGACACAAGACATCGTCTCCCCAATTGTGTACATCTGTGCTCATGCTGTTGACCTCTGGATTGTCTGGTCCAAACTTGATTAATTTTCAGACCGCCATCATATAGCTGGACTATGCTGAGTGCGGTGTTAAACAACACACCAATAACTTCTGTAGGTACACCATAAACTGATGTCATAGTTTACACCTGGGATACACAACATTCCCCATATTGTTTAGTTATTTCCCATATTTTATTCATAATGGTTTATTTACAACAGCTTTTTCACCAAATAAAGACTATTGATGATTAGCATTTTCTAACGATTCAGTTGAGTGTTCAATGTCTTCTGACACGATTCTGTAAAATGTTCATGTCATACTGATGTCAGCCTTCAAATTTCCTGACCAGATTCATGACGCTGTGTCTTATTGGTAATGCCCGGGTCAAACTGAGCAGAGGGCGACCTGTTTGTCAATGCTGATCACTTAAGTTTGATTCTTTGACTGGTACAACATGTAAAGCCTACACTTGATAAGTCAGTCAGATATCCTTTCATATCCTAGTAGTTAGAGCAGCAGCATATGACTCCCTCTGAAGTAAATCTGGGCCCTGTCTACAATGCAAGTGTAGCTCTATGGTGATGGTAACAGCAACCACCTTGTAGAACAGGGCCCAGGTCGAAACCCCTATTTTAGGCAACCACCATGAAATATTGCTGCAATACAGCATAAAAATCCCACACTCCTCAGAGGCAAAGTTCCTGTTATTTCCCAACTCAACCGTGTCTCCTGACAATGATTTATTGAGGACTATGATACAAAGGTGGGCATACATAAATAGGGCTGTAGTTATGAGGAGAGCTGACTGAGCTTCTCGTTGAGAGCCAGCTGTGTCCGGGTGAGATTCGTCAGGTACACCACCATCAGCAAGTCCTGCAACACACAAGGTGGCTGGTGTCAACACAAAAGCGAATAACATTGATTAATAAGGTGCCTTTTCGCTTAGTTTTGAAAATGAATAATGGTCAGAGCAAAAAGTCTGCATGAGAAAGCACATTGGTTTAGGGACCGTCCATAATTTATGGCTAAGGGGGGTGATGATGATTTTAAGGGTGGTCACCCATTTTGTTCTGGGGAGGTAGGGGGGTCATCAATTTTGTAGACGTTTCTAGGGGGTGTCAGCAACTTTGTACATAAAAATATTTTAAAATTATGCTTAAAAAATATTGGAAGGGGGTGGGGGTAATTGATTTTGTACATGACATGCAGGGGGTCTGTGTGTGCTTTGTACTGTTGTAATGTTTAGGGGGTATTCACATACATGCTTCTCCATAAATATCATCACCACCTGGCCATAAATTATGATGAACGGTCCCTTAATTGTGTGAAGAAACCCTGTGGTGAAACTCACATCATGGTGCTGTCAACCCCAGAAATAGGGTGCACCTGCATTAAAACCCACAATAAGATACTGTTCATAATTTATGGCTTTTTTCTTCCTTTCTTTTTTTTTTTTGGAAGTGATGAAAAAAAAGAAATGAAGCATTTTATGGAGAAGCATGTACAATGTGACTGACCCCCCACCCCTTTAATTTATGTACAAAGTGTGACCACCCTATGCATGTCATGTACAAAATTGATCCCCCCAAGCACCCACGCGTACAAAATTGATGACCCCCTACTTCCCCAGAACAAAATGGGTAGAAACCCCCCACCCCTTAAAATCATCAATTTCTCTTTTTCCCCAACCCCACCCACCCACACAAAACCCCCAACAAAACTATGAACGGTCCCTAATGGGTTTCTGGCATGCCCAAGGGAGGCAACTCTGCCCAGCAAATACTGGCACCATAGACTACTGAGCCACCCTTGCCACTGTTTGGCCTTATGAATCTATGACAGCAGGATGTAAAGCAGGACAATCCAGTGATTGACAAACCATTAATTAAAGTATGATGTCTGATGCTGTTGATGGTGCACTGGATTGTACTGGTCCAGACTTGATTATTGGTCTCCAGAAACCCATGCTTGTTGTAAGAGGCAAACTGTTGTTAAAGTAGCTGGAACATTGCTGGAGTGTGGTCGACTTGATACAACAAACCATCAACTGGATGTGAGTGTGGCGTTATACAACAAACCAACAACTGATGTTAGCCTGCAAGAAGCACACAAACCTTCATGTTGGAATTCAGCATAGACTCAAAGTCCTCTGTGTCTGTGTGGGGTATACTGGTGACGATGTTCATTAGCATCCTCCCTGTCTTGCTGTCAGCAGGTAACTTGCCACTCTGCAATATACAACATATTCTTTACTCCCCGAAAACATGTTCTTCACACTCTGGTGGGGATAGCATAATGGTTAAAGTATTGGCTTGCCATGCCGAAGACCCAGGATTGATTCCCTACCTGGGTACAATGTGTGAAGCCCATTTCAGGTGTCCCTGCCATGATATTGCTGGAATATTGCTGGAATATTGTTAACAGCGGCTTAAAACCATACTCAGTCTTCACACTCTGGCAACACATTCTACACACAATCATAACTGGACCAATAAAAACGATGAATCATTATTGTGTCTGACCTCCAACACTTCAACCATTAGCCCACTGTGCAATCATCAAATTTTGTGGCCATGCTTGCAATACATACCAGGACATCATCGACGTAGGACAAGACGAGGACAATGATTTCCTTCAGCTTCTTTGTGGAGCTCTCAACAAGAGCCAGGTCAGAAGACATGGACACACTCCTCTTGTTGACAGTCTTCCCCTGCTGCAGCACATTCACTGGAAGTGAAACAAGAGGCTGTAAAATGTTCTCTCACAATTCTTCAGAGTTTATAATAGTCTCAGAGTTTATAGCTAGGATTACTTCAAAAACGGACCCGATGAATGTTCTCTCACAATCTAGACTTTATAAGGATTACTAATAAACAAGAGGCTAAAATGTACTCTCACATTCTGAGTTTATATAGTCCGTTTGATCATGAATCAGTCTAAAACATAAACATACCATACTCTGGCTGAGGTTAATCAGAATTTTTGTCCTCTGTGAAAAATAAAAATAAAAGTTGTTTAACAATCTATCATTAAAATATTGACACAGTTCACTATTTTATTTACGATACGGGAGGAGTGCTGAGAAAGGACAGCCAGGTGTTCGAGAATGGATGGAGGCGGCACAGCACAGGTTAATGAATAAATAACTTTGTCTGTGAGCGTGCTTCTCGAACACCTGGCTGTCCCTTTCTCTGCACTCCTCCCTCGTAACAAATAGTGAACTGTGTCAATATTTTAATGATAGTTTGTTAAACAACTTTATTATTTTTAGGACAAAAATTCTGCAAATACCTCACAGAGGGGGTATGATGTTTTGATTATGATCAGCGGTTCATTGAGTATGTTGTGTTTATTAGTTTTCGAGTTAGATTGCAATTCATCGGTCCGCTTTTGAGCCAAACGGACTGTAACTAGGATTACTTCAATGAAACAAATATGTTTACTGTTTTCTATTATTTTTTCAGTTCAAATTCATAACAGAATTATAGGCTTGAAAAAGTCCTGAGATACTACTAAGACTGGATGTATATTTGTCAGATTTTGTCCTCAGCACAGTAGACACAGTTGTGTTTCTTGCCCCCTGCAGCTGATCAAACCTGGGATGAGCAAACAGGTGGTTGAGGAAATGCAGCAATCAATATCATCTCATAAGATGCAGCACAACCACACAGGTCACGCTGAAGGCACCCCGACCCTTGTACCACGCTGCAGCTTAACTTGGATACTCCATTAAAAAGTATACTTACTCCGAGATGAACAGTCCTTGTTTCATCCCCTTAATGACAACCACAAGGCAGGGTAATAACAAGCACCATCTCTTGAAGTCTATAACAACAGACCCTCCACTCCCCTGACAGATCCTCAAAACTCAAGATGGGGGTTATCCCATGTAAAGAAGCATGACAACACTAACCTCCAATCTGTTCTGGCTCGTATCTGACGATGTCGATAGTCACTGGTGTAAACATTGTTCCAACAGTTCTTCCTGGGACGCCCATTGGAGTGCTGAAAACATAAGTAACAGGTCGCTAAGTTAGTTGAGGACTCGTCAGACTGTTGTTTTCTGGCTGCATTCATAAACTGGTGAAAATAACACACTGCCAAATGCTTCATATGACATCAAGGTAAAGCCAATAGCAGAAATACATAAAAGTCATATTTTCATTAGCAATGTCCAGTTACATACATCCAGCTACTGATCAGTGGCAGATCCTGAGAGGGGTTGATGCACTAAAACATGGCTTGGTCTTAACTACTTGCAATCTAGCTGAATGTAGTATTCCTGTTGCGAGATCTGCTGTTCAAGGCTCTCAGTATTGGGTTGAATACTTGATACTAAGAACTATATCTTAGCTGTAAAGTATGTGCAAAACACCTGTGACTTGTGAACAACATTGACACTCACCTGACATATGCCTTCATCCCAAGTTTGCCGGTCTTGACTGTTGTGTCGACGGTGAGATGTACTGGGTTCTTGGCCTCTCTGGAGTAGTACTCATGGATCAACACTGAGTGGCTTGACACGTCCCCGCTGGTAGAGTACCTGCCACATCACAACACGATTACCAAACTGGCACAATGGCAAGTAACAAACTGGCACAACGGCAGGTAACAAACTGCTTTCCAGATTTCACTATGGATGTTAGTAACAGAATTTGTTTGTAAATGAATTCTGACTTGGGCTTAAATAACATTATTAGGGCTGACTTAAAAGATTGATAATCGGAAATATCATTGATGGGAAAAATATTAATGATTATCATACATGAACTATTGTGAAGATATAAAGTTTTAAGTTACTCAGGCAATACACTAAGTTAGGTGTTTATTCATGGGCTGCCTCTAAGTTATGCTCAGGATGGTGTTTTCTCAGTACTCCAAGCACAATATGTCACCACTCACTAGTTATGTGATATTTATTGCTTTTTTGGTGGACCTTTTTGAGGCATTTTTTGCCCAAAGTTACTTCTCCTTTGATGTATGTATAGCAAGCCCTACATACCATCATATCTCTATGAATGTTTATAATATTTACCAGCCCACGATAACTTCTGCTGCATTAACCTTGCGGTACAGCTCATACATGTTTCTGGCATACTCAATATCAATGGCCACCTGAAACAGGTAATGAAGAACAATTAATTAACAGTCATAACCACATTATCATAACCATGATTATACATTCATGAATCGTGTACATTTACATTGATTTAGATACCACTGACTTACACTGTGACATATCAACTCATTTCATCAAATACATCTGATTTATAGGGCAGAAAAATATTACATGAAGATAATTTTTTTGATTGGAACTGTTTCAAGGATTTATCTTGCCATTTCATCAGGCAAGTAAATAGGTTGTGAATAAACCTTTTAAAATCTACTTAGTAAAGTCATGCAACATGAAACTGAATTACAAATTTACAAAACACACCTCATCATCTGATTCATTGTGTGGCACAGCAAAACAGTTTGTCACTTCTACTGCACCTTTGTCATAACATCCTGAAACACAAGAGATGTCCATTACAAATAACACTGACTACTTTCAGCAAGTTGTTACCTACAATTTAATACAAGAGTGCGTTCCATTTTAAACCATTTTCATCAATATTCGAACAATGTCATTCAGGGGTCATGGGTGAGGGGAATCACCAGAAATGATCTTCATACATTCCATATGGGCAATCAAACCTATGCCTTCGGTGTGACAAGTGAATGCTGTAACCACTATGCTACACTACCTTTCAATACAAGACATGCATACAAAGCATCATAACCATATGAATCTTTTGTTTTCATTTAAGAGGCCTTATACAACAAGCATTGATGACTGGAGTCCGGTTTGTCACAGAAATATACCTGGGATACAATTCTGACATGGGGTCTGTGCCAACAACTACATCAAAGGCAAGAGCACTAGTATTATAAACAACAAAATTGTCAGAATCCATCCACAGACTTTAGACATGCTAAAGACCAGAGTATATTGTCACAAACTTTAGACATGCTAAAGAGTATATTCTCTCAAATCAAGCTCATTTGAGACTGAAGAATATACTGCAATAACAGATGGCCAATTTTCTGGAAAATCAGTTGGATGCAAAACATAATTTTGATGTTGTTGACAGATAATATAATGCTCAAATATGTATGGTTTGTAGCAAAAGATTGATCTTTCACACATATTGTATCATATCTGTTATACACATTGACTTAACACATATATAAATAATAATCTCACAAATAAAGCTGGCTGGTCGGTTTGTTGTTTAATACCACACTTTATTACTCGCCTGTGGAAGATACTGCAGTGTAATATTTTTACAGCAATATTACACTAGTGTAATACGGCTAGGCGTGTGACGTCATAATGGTTTACAGTTATGACGTCACAATGCTAATAACCTCAGTCACAATGGTATTAGACTTGTTTGACTCGTGGAAAGCTGAGAGTCATCACACTACGTAGGCAGTTTTTATCAATTTATGTTGGAGAGTAATAAACAGAAGACTAAACTCGCTTCTGTGAAATACCATTTTTATTAAACTCGTGAAAGATTTAGCATCAACTTGCTTTCGCTCGTTTGATACCAAATCTTTAACTTGTTTAATAAAAATGGTATTACACGGAAGGTCGTTTACTACGGTTTAGTATCCTCTATCAGCAACATGCCAGCTATATGGTTGCGATCAGTAAACAATCGAGTCTGGACCAGGCAATCTAGTGATTAACATCATGAGCATTGATCAACACAACTGGCAAACGATCACAAGTGTCAAACAAGTCAGCAAGCCTGACCATCCGTTCCCGTTAGTCGCCTTTTACAAGCATCGGTTACTGGAGACAACAAATTCTAACCAAATAAAGAACCATATGGTTAACCTAGGTAGACTGACATCAACAACGTACTGCACTTCAAATTGGACATCGGATACAAGATATCAAAAGTAATTAAGTGAACACCTTACTGAGTGGTAATACTCCGGTAGAACGAGACATATTTTTCCTGTCAAATGACTAGAAGTGGGCCCTATCTCAATTGTGGTTTGGAAGTTCCCCGTATTGCTAAACGAAAACACCATCATACGAAGACATTTTGTCACACATCGGAACATGTAAAGTTACTTTCATCACAACACTTCAAATCCGTACCAAGCAGGGTGCCAATAACTCGTTTGGAGTCTTCATTTCTTCGTTCGTACGAATCAACAATACTGAAAAGGACCACAGGATGAACCCGGCACACGAGGTGAGTCGCCATTTTGGAGGAAAAGAAATAGCTGTGGAGTTAATGGTAATAATTCACTCTTTGTAATATCCCATTGTAAACATTGTTTAACCAGTCAAATAATGTTGTTACGGTTTCTACAAAACATCTTGACGCATAGTTTTACCGTCGTTTTAGTATTTGTTAACAAGTTATTTTGAAGCTTGCATTTACTGCGGTACAACAAGGCTCTGAAAATTGATTTCCGGCTTAGAATAACTTTCAGTGTTTTTCACTGCATAAAGCAAACATAGCACCACGCAATTTGTTGGGCGTCGTCGAATAGTGATACAAATAACATTTGGTTATAGGTTTGTACGATTATCTTTATTCAAAATGTAACTCAACAAAGTAAAAGTTCTCCATGAAATGCGTCTACCAAGTATCACATGGGAATGTGTAAGGCTCCCAGTCCACATGCATTGAGTGACTCAGCTGTCATGACAAACTCAGCTCTCGATGTTTATAACAGTTTTTATTCCACTTGTCTCACATCTACAAAAGCTTGGGACGAAGCTGTTATGATTTATTTCTTATAGTGGAAGAATCGTGTTACAGCGTGCATTATTTTAGCAGCGTTGAACAGGCAATGATAAATATGCAATGTTCTCACAGTGCTTACTTTCGGAATTGTATATACTTTGTAAAAAACATTCTCCATGGAAATGGGGTATCCAGTTATGAAGCCATAATTGTAAATCAATGTCCAAATAATGTGTTCAGATGAAATTCAGCTTGATTCTGAGGTTTGTAGCTTGCAAAGTTGTTTGTCCTATTGGTGCCAAGGTAGCATCCTGACGTAAATCAGAAGCAAAGAATATTTGGAATATCTGACGATTTGTGATGGTATTCAATTTGTAATACTAGACAAGGACAAATTGACTTTCAGTATGAAACACCAGGGGTGCATCTACCAATATAAAAGAAGCCCAGGCTTACACATGACTGTTGCTGAAAAGGTTGGGCAAGCCCTCAAATACTATTTAAATACAAAGCTTTGCAACCTATCGGGCTTACACGAAAAAAATGGCCTGCTACGCGCGCCTATTCAATACTACTGGCTAGTGATCAGATGCCTCCTGCAATGATTACGTCTTGTTTTATGTTTGCTTGTTCATGTTATAGGGGTGAAATATTTACCCAAAAATTATGAGCAAAATCGCCTTAATATTGAATTTACACAAGTTATGTACCTTAAATGTAAAAGCGTTGCAGTGTCACATGACAAGTGTATGTTAAAACAATTTGAAGCTGATGATGCAAATTAGGTTCAGTAATAACTATCAGTTTGTCATTTCTCCCTTGAAATATGATTTTTTAAACCTTATTCAGCACCTTTTTTCAAATATTCATTACTTAAGTACGCAGTGAAATATGTTGTCAGTTGTTGTTGACATGGTCATTATATAACGATACAGGTAATTTCAGCAGAAATATTGTTTGCAATACATTAAAAAACAATGATGAAAGCATGCTTATTGGAATATTGATTGATTTAAGGAAAAATGTTAAAAGTTTTATATTTTAGTTGTTTGTCAACTAGTGTATAGATCAATGAAAATCAAATTGTAGAAGATTAAATAGCTCTGGGTTGAGTCCATGTGAATGCAATGAAGTCATTTGTTTTTACCTAGCAACCTGAGTTTGGGGATAAAAAATCTATGAAAGTCAAGCCTTTTGTTTTCTCAACCTTTTTTTCAGTGATATGGTTTAAAAGATTATTTATATATTCTTAGATGTAGTTTCTGGACACTGGTAACACTTGATGTAGAGATCAAATCATTCGCAATGCAGAATATTTTTATGTGTTTTTTCAAGCAAACAAATTTTGACCATCAAGGCAACAATAAAGTTTTGGATAAAAAATGTGTTCACTAGTTCATTGAAAAGCAAAAGGAATCCTTACTATGTTTTTTGTCAATGCTGTACCTTGGTACCACAAATAAAAAACAAAAGTTTGCTTTGAATAACCTATGAGCATATTTGATTATTGTATAAATATTTCTCATGTTGTTCTGCTTGATTGTTTTTAGTCCTTTTAACAAAGTTGGGTAAGAAACTTCATGATAAAGCAAGTTATGGACTTGATGTTGTAGTTTTACAAACCTTGATGTGATTCCTTTGCTCATACATTTACAAACTTAATCATTGTTTGTATTTTCAATAATTTCATGGTGTTGTGTTGTTCGTTTTAGTGCTACATGGATGCATGGTGATTCACAAATGGACTCAATGGATCCAGAAATTGATTCTGATGATGGCAACTGGCCTGAGTTCCAGGACTCCTCTGTTAGAACAGAGAGGTGTCTGTTTGGACGAGAAGAGGTTCAGCTGCCTGAAGTTTTTATAGAACAGGTAAGTCCAAACTAATGTCTTGTTTCTTTTGAATGGGCCCTATATTTGGCAAGATTTAAAATGTAACAGAATTAAGTGTTTTTCAACACAGTAATATACTTGGCATGTCTGCAAGGTATTTTGTCAAATCGGACCCATGTTTTTGTGTTATTAAGGGTTCATTTTGATATTTTTTCCTTAATGTTGCAAACAATTTTTCACTTATATCAGGATGCCATACAATTAGTCTTACATGATGTCAAGGTTTTAATTTGAATTTTCTTTCTATAACTTTGCTTTTAATAAAAGAAAACTATGACAGCAGAATATGTTATGAAGTACTTATGATTGTTGGAACCTGTTAGAAAAACCAGAATCCCGAAAATGTAACCTTCAAGACATCATCCATTCAGGATTAAATTACTTGATATGAACAAATAAAATTATATGCAAATGTAAAGTTATGTTTCTGACAGTGTTTTCTTGTGGGCTTCAGGTTCTCATGGTTAAATACAATTGAGGTGTTACCTCCCTTTGCATCCCACTCTATATTACTTCTGGTATTTTCTCAAAGTTTGATACTATCTTTATACTCCTTTCCTTCAGTGTTCAGTATGTGTGAAGATTCTGTCAGATGGTGTAATTGTGACACATAGAGGGGAGGTTAGACTTTGGATAACAGGTGCGATGGGATAGTGTATTCTAAAGGGCTGAGCTCATTGTGCTTTTGTCAGTTTTACTGTTGATGATTTATTGAACTGGATTGACATTGTGTCACTATAGAGGTGGAATAATTGAAAAGACTATTCCGGTAACCATGACAACTGAAATATTTCTGTGTATGCTTACTGCTGGTTTGTTTCTTTCAGAGTCATATATTTCAAGACGTGTTATCACAACAGATGTGGGACACATCCCTTAGTGATGCACAAAAACAACATCTCATGGTAAGTTCCATGTGTTGATAAGGGGAGACAACTTCTCCACGTCAGTGTATGCAGCAGTGTTGATCAGAACATTTATTTGTGTGTGGTGTGGAATGAGTGAGTGATTGAGTAATGTTGAACAGTGTTTCAGTTTGAGTTGGCATTTCAGCATGTAGAGGGAGAGTCGAATATGATACAGGTTGTAGATCTTGCCATTATCCGAGAACCATGTTCCTTAGCTTCTTCCTGACGTTATTGCTGTTTAATGTTTTCAAGTTACTCAATTTAAGTGATTCCAGTGTGAGGAATGTTTGAGCATCTGTTTCACTAAGGTAAAGTTTATATCAAGTATGCTTTCTCCAGCTGCCATTAGGCAGAGCTCCAGATAAGCCTTTGGGCATGTGGGTATGATACCCAAACTTTTCAAACTAAGTGGGTATTTCCAATTTCAAGTGGGTATCTATACTTTTTTGATACCCATCATCTTTTTAAGATCCGGGTATTCATTTCAAATAACAAGTGTAAGGAGTATGCCTGACAAACACTACAACATGACCTAATAAGACCTTTATTTTTCCTTATCCTGACTCATGCTTATTGCTTGTCTTCTTCTTCTTGCGAACCTAGTGGAACACGTGTATCTCCCAATTGAAGTTCCCTTCAATAAAGAAATCACTAATTAGTACTCACCACGAGTTACCTCCCTTGCCCAAGCGCGGGAACGAGGGCGCCACCTCAACCCATGTGCCTCACTCTCTCCTTCTTCGCCCAGTGAGCTGGTCGTGAAGCGCCTGTGTCTCCCAACACACTATATCCTTTTAGTTTAGTACCTCTTATACTTAGTATAGAGGTGTAACTAGTATCCTTATTCAACTTGCATTGATTATTAATTGTGTTTCTGCTGTTTATTCACGGTTCGCCGTGATTGTTCAGTAGTTTACGTTAATGAGAATCTGCACAGATTGTAAACTACGTTATTCCGCTACTGATCCACATTTAAAATGCCCTAGTTGCATTACTCCATGTTCTTTTGTTTCTCGTTGTAAATTATGTATTAATTTACCAATTTCTGCCTTTGATAAATATTTATGTTCCGTTTTTAGACGGAAGGCAGATAAATCTCGCAAACAATCTTCAGTCATGGCTAATAGATCAGAAGCTAATATTCCCTGTCAATGTTGACTGACGACCCGCCACCGGCTGGTGGCATGCCTGAGTTCCCTCGGGGGATAAGCGTGGGACGCAGTCCGCTATGTCCAAGAAGCGACCTGCATCTCAAGACCTGCCGTCTTCTCAGTCTAAGACTAGGAAAACGTCCATATCATCACATACGCTTCGAACCCCCAGGTCTACAGCTACGTCAAAAAGGGAAATCTACAAAATCTAATAATTTTGCCTCCGATAGTTTACCTATCACAGAATTATCTTTATATGATGATGACATTCCGATTATCATTCCAGATGTTCAGTCATAAGAAACGTCCTGTATCTGCGACTGTTACCTCAGCGCAGATTAGCACGCTACCAGAGATGCCTACGCTGTCACCAGAGATTATGACTGAGGGTCCCGTCACTTTCACAGAGAGAACACCCTCATCGTCAGCGCATACCGCCTCAGACGACTTGGTCAACCAAATCATGAGGCTGATGGAAGACCGTTACGGTTTACAGAGGCCCCAGAGCCACGGGCCCCAGAGCCCAACCCATATTAAGTCATACAGGGCCCCAGAGCCTGCCTTGGCTTCGCGTAGGGCCCCAGAGCCCACAGATGCGCCTCCGCGAAGGGCATCCCAGCCCGGAGCGAGCCCTTGCATAGGAAGTCCCAGGCCACCTCCGCGAAGGAGCTAGAGCCTCACCTATTGCTAGAGGCTTCGCGGAGAAGGAGCGCTTCGCCGAGCACGCACCTTGTAATTCACAGAGGTCGTTCGCGAAGCAAGCGCTCATATGTTGATACGGACACTGACTCGATACATTAGCGAAGGTTGCGAAGGCTAAGTGGCTCCAATTCTACATCGCCTAGAAGAGCTTCGCGAAGCCCCCAGCGTTCGCGAAGCCCCCAACTCCAATTCTACATCGCCTAGAAGAGCTTCGTGAAGCCCCCAGCGTTCGCGAAGCCCCCAGCGTTAGGAAGATATAGTAGAGCTTCGCGAAGTCCCCAGCGTTCGCGGAGGGTGTCTCCTCCAAGGTCTCCTTACACTAGCCACTCGTCAGTCCGTTCATCACAGTCCTCTCATAGATCTTCCTATAGATCTAGGACTCCGACATGTGACCCTACGTCAGAAGAGGAGGAAAGTATCATTTTCTCAGATGCTGAGATTAGATACTGGATGGTGAATGAGTTACAACTTGTTTTCTCATCGAAGAACGAGAATTCAACTCAGACTTACGTCATGAAGGATGATGATGTAGACTATTTCACCTTACCTCCTATTGATCCGATTGCAGCGGTACCAGCTAATCTGGATACAGCCTGCTCCAAATCTTCGGAAGCCCAAACGCAGATCTGCAGACAATTCTATTACTGAATTGAACAGCAACCTTGTTACAGCGAATAAAACTCATATCGTCAACGATTTTCTGAGAAGAAATATGTACAACAAGTTCAGCTTTAATTCTACAATTATGACGATACATTCATGTATACAGTCTACAAGCTGACAACTTGCAAGTTTTATTAAACCTTTATATAAGGAAGTCGGAATTATCTTCAAGACTGAAGTTACTTTCCACGACAGCCAGGAAAATAACCTACCCAGCATTAATATTACAGAGCGAGGTATTTGGCGGGAGGTTTCAGCGTTTACCATTAACCCTCGAAACACGTGGTTACTTTCGGGTAACCGAGGGGAAGCTACGGTGAAGACCGGCGATTGTTCTAATATCAACGATGGCACTATATTATACAAGGTTCCTTTTCCTGCTACACCGGTGACATCACAGCGCGGGTACTCTACAGAATCAAAATGCCTTGTTCTGATTGGACCACGATGGACAACGCCCTACTCAGAGGTCGAGCATAGTTCACAGTTCAAGACATAAGTTGCAAGTGACAACATTATATCAGTGAACGAGCAAGCCTCCTTACAGTCCAGCTAATCTGAACCTTCATGATTGGGCTGCCTTTTTGAGGTTTGAGACCTCCCCTGTCAAGTAAGGACGAGGGCACGGCAGTCAGGCGATTTTTTACATAAAGTTCAACGATGGCAGTCAACCCTGGTTGTGCACCTACATCGTCAAGGACTTCGCAGCGAATTTACCTCGACGACGGGATACAAGTGGATCCAAATCCACAGCGTCTCAAACTACAGTTGAATTTCATCATCAAGACCAAGAGATTGAATGTTTGCGCAGGCGTCTCCTTAGTAGAGCCGGAATCGAAAACACATCTCTACGTAGACACGTCACTACAAGGTTAGGGAGCCCACCGTGCCGGCAGGACAGCGTCAGGTCTATGGAGCAATCAAGAGAGCAAATGTCACATAATCTGCTAGAGATGCAAGCAGTCATAAACGCCATAGTCACTGGAGCAACCTACTACAGAACGCTCAGTTGATAGTTCACACAGACAATTCAACAGTGGCGTTTTATGTGAACAAACAAGGTTCAACAAGGTCACAGAACCTACTGACTCGATGTTTCAGACTGTTCAATCTAATTGACAATCTAAACATACCGTCAGAGCTTGCCACATTCAGGAGCATAGAATGTATTAGCAGGCGCTCTCTCGGCCACACCAACCGTCGCCCGACAGAATGGATGCTCCTCACAGAGATATTCAATCAAATTATCATGGAAATAGGATCTCCTCTGATAGTCCTATTAAGCCACTTTCGATTCAACAAGCAACTGACAACATTCGTTTAAGCCAGTGCCAGACCCACTAGCATGGGCAGCGGGCCTTTTAAGCATATCGTGGGGAGGGACTCAGCGCGTGCGCTTTCCGCCTCCAGCGTTAATCCCACAAGTCTTACAGAAAATCAGTCAAACGCAGAGCCTCCATCTGATTTGGTCGCCCTACTGACTAGCTTTTAGAACTTGGTTTCCAGATCTCATACAAAAATCGGAAAACCAATTCTTCAGCTCCCACAACGCACCAATCTATTGATACATCCGTTACACCAAACAAGTGCACGAAACACCAGAAGCATTCCAACTTCGCATGGATTGTATCAAGGCATGTCTGAATAAGAGGGTTATTCTGCCAAAGCGGCTAAAGCGGTCACGCTTGCACTACGTAACTCAACTCGTAACTTTTACGATGACAAATGGCACAGTTTTGTCAATTACGCTGCTAAGAAAGGATTTACAGCCAGATATGCTACACATCCTCAAGTGGCAGATTTCTTATATTATCTACGTCAAACTAAGAATCTAAAAGGCTCAACCTCGTCCACTTATATTGCAGCTATAAGCTCTGTCATAACTATGAGAAAGGGCGTCAAGTTGACAAAAACACCAGAGTTACTCGCTTTGTTACGAGCGTTCCGATTGGAGGATCAGAAACGGAAGTTTCACGCTCCAGCCTGGGATCTAAATATAGTGCTCCAACACCTCACTAGTGAGGCTTATGAACCATCGCTATCTACATCGTTTGAATCACTGACCCACAAAACCTTGTTCCTGTTAGCAATAGCTACGGCCGCCAGGATGTCAGAAATTCACGCACTGGATTACGAGAGAACACGCTTTGATGATATTCATAACATCGCTCATCTGGGACTTCGCTGGGAATTTATAGCGGAAAACCAACTGCCAGGTCAACCAGACAGATTATTCCACGTCCCAGCTCTCTCATCCATACTTGGACCGCATGATACGATGGATCTATCACTATGCCCAGTTCATGCACTGAAAATATATCTCCAACGATCCAAACAGAGCAGAGGGATATTCAAGAGATTATTTATCCCTATATCTACAGCTACGCAGACGGAAGTCTCACGTACTACTATCTCTATCTGGATCAGAACTGTCATACTACGTGCCTACAAGGCTGCAGGACTCGACCCTCCAAGAGCATCTAATCCTGACGAAATTAGAACGCTAGCCTCAACTCTCGCTCTTCATGGGAATTGCACGTTGAATACCATAATGGAGGGATGTTTCTGGAGATCCGATATGGTGTTTGCCAACCACTATCTGAGAGATATCACCACCAAGGACGTCTCAGGTATCCACCATTTCGGTCCCATGGTCCTCGCTCAACAGTTGACAGTTCCACGGAGAGAAGATAAGTCTATCTTACAGATTTTATACTTATCTGATAACAGTACTAATAGATACATGCTATCTATATATTTTGCTTAAGTTTAATTTATTATCTTAAGCTCAGTACTATGGTTTTTATATCATACTATATATAAGCTAACAACTCTGCGGAGTTTGTTATTATATATTTAGCTTAAGTTAATCATATCTTAAGCTCAGTTCTATGGTTACATTATAATGTATTAGCTAACAAACTCTACAGAGTTTTTGCTATTATATATGTAGCTTAAGTTAATTATATCTTAAGCACAGTACCATACTCATAGCATAAAAATATATTAGCTAACAAACTCTATTGAGTTTTTGCTATTATATATGTAGCTTAAGTTTATTCATATCTTAAGCTCAGTACTATGTTTATATCATATAAGTATATTAGCTAACAAACTCTCAAGAGTTTTTGCTATTATATATTTAGCTTAAGTTTATTCATATCTTAAGCATTATGGTTACATTATAACATATATTAGCTAACAAACTCTACGGAGTTTTTGCTATTATATATGTAGCTTAAGTTTATTCATATCTTAAGCTCAGTACTATGTTTATATCATATAAGTATATTAGCTAACAAACTCTATGGAGTTTTTGCTATTATATATGTAGCTTAAGTTTATTCATATCTTAAGCTCAGTACTATGTTTATATCATATAAGTATATTAGCTAACAAACTCTCAAGAGTTTTTTGCTATTATATATGTAGCTTAAGTTTATTCATATCTTAAGCATTATGGTTACATTATAAAATGTATTAGCTAACAAACTCTCTAGGAGTTTTGCTATTATATATGTAGCTTAAGTTTATTCATATCTTAAACTCAGTACTATGTTATATCATATAAGTATATTAGCTAACAAACTCTCAAGAGTTTTTGCTATTATATATTTAGCTAAAGTTTCATCATATCTTAAGCATTATGGTTTACATTATAAAATGTATTAGCTAACAAACTCTACAGAGGTTTTTTTGGCTATTTATTTGTAGGTAGCTTAAGTTAATTATATCTTAAGCACAGTACTATACTCATATCATAAAATATATTAGCTAACAAACTCTCAACGGAGTTTTTTGCTATTATATATATAGCTTAAGTTTTATTCATATCTTAAGCTTAGTACTATGTTACTTCATAAAAGTATATTAGCTAATAAACTCTAAGGAGTTTTGATATTATATATTTAGCTTAAGTTTAATCATATCTTAAGCTCAGTACTATGTTTATATCATAAAAGTATTTTAGCTAACAAACTCTAAGGAGTTTATGCTATCATATTAACAAGCTTAAGTCTATTAGTCTTAAGCATTGTATTAATGTTATATATACTTTTATCATAATAAGTAAATTGTAATAACCTTTATATGGCAGCTGATAAGTTAGCAGCAGGAATTCATCAGTTCAGTGCCTTTATGAAGTTCCCATAGGGTTATTACAATCTTCACAGTTCAAATCACTAATTATTAAAATCCAAAGTATTATATATTCCCACCTCCTTTTCCGTCGGATTCTACAAGCAATAAGCATGAGTCAGGATAAGGAAAAATATGTAATTTTAGAGTAAAATTGATATTTTATACTTATCCTGACTCATGAGGTAAGCCCTCCCATCCTCCCCACATAACACTTTGGATTTCCCTGGAAATTCAAGTGTTGGGCTCAGTGAGGAGAGAGTGAGGCACATGGGTTGAGGTGGCGCCCTCGTTCCCGCGCTTTGGCAAGGGAGGTAACTCGTGGTGAGTACTAATTAGTGATTTCTTTATTGAAGGGAACTTCAATTGGGAGATACACGTGTTCCACTAGGTTCGCAAGAAGAAGAAGACAAGCAATAAGCATGAGTCAGGATAAGTATAAAATATCAATTTTACTCTAAAAATTACATTTTTATTCAAAATTAACCATGGATATTTTCTTTTCCACGTAGCAATTGTTGTTTTATTAAAACCTGGTTCCCATCATGTTGTTTCACTTCCACGCCGTGAATAGCTAATGTTACAAGTTCATTTAAGATATCACCGGCAATTGATTCTGATTGAGAAACACAGCATAATATTAATTCATCTAGCAGTCCTCTAATGAGGTTGTTTTCTGTTTGTAGCATAAAAAAACTAGATATTTTACTTTGAGCGTGTGGAAGCTTTAGACCATGCCTGTTTTGTTTACAGGACATGTACGCAGGAAACAGCTATTTGACTGGTCGCTATTTATAGATTGGCCAATCCGCGAAGGTTAACAAGCTATGACTGGTATTCTATCTGCGTTGTGCATCTTAATTGCGTTTAGAATTATTCAAGAATATCTTAATCCCGAATATTTAGAGATGGAAAAGTTTGTTTTGATTGCCTTGAATTGATACGATGCCAACATAATTTTGATGTATTGGGTAAATATGCATTCTTATTTTGACATAGCGTAAACATAAATATTTAGTGTTTTTTTCATATGCTGGCATTTATTTTTCTTGCGTATTTCAACTTTTCTATAGTGTATTAAACGCAAATACGCAGCTTATCTGGAGCTCTGATTAGGGGGCCAAGGTGGTCCTGTAGCCTCAGGTGCTACAATTTATTGTGCAGAGTTGCCTCCCTTGGATGTCCTTGTTTACTCAAGCTACATATCTAGGTTTGTCTTCAATCTACCTGGTTAAAGTGAAGGTGTAACACATAATGAAACTCATAGGATTCTTTGTTGCCATTTACCATGGAAATTGTGTTACATGAATGCAATCTTTTAAGTTGAAAGCATACCGTTATTCATCTTCCAGTAGGTACTGATTTTGGGGCATTATTTCAGAAATTCCTGCCAAAGTTTCCTCAAAAAGATAGCGAAGAAAAAGAAGAAACTGTCAGGTAATGTGTCAATTTCTGTTTCCTTATTGCAATAACTTGGGGTGTGTGGGCGAGCTGTCTAAGGCGCCAGGCTAGTGATCCAGCGAGCTTGACGTCCCGGGATTGAGCCCACTTGTGACTGGGTGAAAAAACCTTGGAGTCAACTTTGTGTGGAGACTCTTTCAGTGTTGTCACAACCCCTAGTCTACAGTACACAACCCTGTGCACTTGAAAGAAGCCACGAATCCGTTGGTATATGACCAGATGGTGGCCACATGAAACATGCAAACACCTAGTTGCAGGTACAGCAATGTGTCCCAGTCCACCCAGCTGTGAATGGGTTACTCATAAGGATGGGAAAGCCATTAAACTTGGTGTGCCTAGTGGCTGCAAGAGTTGTATGATCCCTCAGGAGTGGAGACTAATAATACAATGTGCCGTTTGAGATTGACATCCGATGATTGAGGGAAAACCAAAGTGCCTTTGAGCAGCTGAGAGATGCTGGATATTGGCTATGCAAATCTTAGTATAATAATAAAATAACTGGGTTTTGCCTAGTGGCTGGGGTAGCCTAGGAGTGGTTAAAGATATTTGCTCCGTCCAAAGTGCCTTTGACATGGGTACAATGTGTTAGAAGCCCATTTCTGGTGTCCCCTGCTGGAATAATGCTAAAGCGCGGTGTAAGATTAAACTCACTCCTGTCTCATTAAGAACTCTGACAATCACACACAAGACATGGAACTCAAACCTCCATCAAGAAACCTTCTAACAAGAAAGATTGACAGAAATGCTTTCATTTGTCATTTTATGTCAAGAATAAACTCTTTATAAATCATTTTTGTATGTGTGGTTATTGTTTTAGAACTTACTTCGCATAATATTGGTTTGTATTTATTATTTATACTCAAAACGTGTATTAATGTTGTTTTTCAGGAGATTATTCTCTGGTGATGAGTTTAAGTTTGGAAACCCATTAACACAGTTTCAGTCACAACTAAGAGGTAAGAAGACAGATGAGCCTTTTACTCCGGGCACTTGGAGTGTGTTTGTTCAGAAACAAGGTTACCCAGAACTCATTCACCATGTATACATTGCCTGAGTGAGGCATTAAACAACAGAATGTCTGATAATATAAGGGTCTGTGTCGTCTTCTTGATTGTAGCTTGTCTGCCAATTGTTCATAATCTTGTATGTTTAGAAGTAGCATTAGTTCAGTTTCCTCTGACTCTGAGCCATCGGCCTACTTGTTTCAGATGGCTTCTACTCCCCCCGATATAGCGAGATACACGAATCTATGCAAGCAGTACAAATACCGGGAATACAAGTTCCGGCAACAGAGGTACTACTCATCTCTACTCAAGAAGTTATCCTGACAAGACAGGTATGTGAAACATTGTTCACTTTTACAGTGGGTACTTCGGGTAATTTAATTACATTGTTTACTGTAACTATGGTTACAGTGGGTAATGAAGGTACATAGTTCAAAAGTTATTCCTGTATTTAAGGATTAGTTGTTAAGAGCCATATAAAGGATTAAAAATGATAAAACAATCATGGTAAAAATAATGAAAGAATCAAGGATATATGAATCCACGTACCAATATTTTTTAAATATTTTTTAGCGGGTTCTGGAAGAAGTGGGTCAGGTCCCACCAGAACAGCCGATAAAATTGAAGAACACACATGCCCCTCCACCTAAAGACAAGTCACTTGAACACAAGGTCAAGAAGAAATATTCAAGGTCAGTGCTACATTTACAAATGACATTACTTCACATAAATGTGTTCAGTAAAAGGTAAAGGTTGATTACAAAGATAGTAAAGAATTTTCAGCTTACACATACATTATTATAAAAATGTGTGAAGCTCATTTCTGTTGTCCCCCGTCGTGATATTACTGGAATATTCCTGATATTACTGGAATATTACTGGAATTATTAATTTTATTCATTCTGTCTGTTGTCATTAATGATTTTAAGAATTGGTACAATCTGAGGTTTTCCTCATGTGTTGATATTGGTAGAAATGGACAGTGTCGACAATAAATATAGCAGTCTTATACCTGTTGTCATGGTTACAGGTTACTGAAGGAGGTGCGAGAAGAGTGTGAGGTTGATGAAACTTCCTCTGATGAGGAAGAGGAAGCTGTCAGTGAGTATATTCGGTGTTGTAGCTGAGTCGGGGCTTTAACAGACCACACTCACCATATATATATATATATATATCAGATTTGTTCACAATTCAATAAGACCGCCTCCGTGGTGTAGTGGTTAGAGCGTCCGTCCGGAGAGCGGAAGGTCGCGGGTTCGATCCCCGACCATGTCATACCAAAATACGTTAAAATATGGTACTTGTTTGTCCCCGCCTGGCTTTCGGCATTAATGGGTACAACAAAGGGCTGGTCGGCTTCGAGTCAGTATAATGTGTCTGAGTGGGGTATTCATGCTTCACTCGCGGCATGGTATCTCAGTGAGCTAGCACTATAAAACCAGCTTCAGTCTGGGCTAGTACAAGCAGGCGCACATACACATACACACACATGCATGTCGTCATATGAGCTGAAATATTCTCAAGCACTCCACGTAAAACCCGATTTCACCTCACCTCACATTTCAGTACATGTAACATGCTGTGGATACTACATCTAGCCCTACAGGCAGATATCAGCTAAGTGCAGGTTTGAATCCATAACTCTTGCTTCATGCTTTGTCAGGATTGAATCCTTGCACCAAGACCTGCTTTAACCAAGTAGAGAATCTGAGTATAAATAGACCCCTAGTGTTACTTGTCCCGAACTGTTCTGTATTAGGGCTGGGCCGGGGGTTTTGCTTGTCCGCACCCGATGACCTGGCTTCCATTCCCCACATGGGTACAATGTGTGAAGCCCATTTCTGGTGTCCCCTGCTGTGATATTGCTGGAAAATGGCTCAAAGCGGTGTAAACTAAACTCACTCATTGTAATTAGGGTCACTTATGTTTTGATCATTTTAACATTGGACATATACAGAGAGAGATTTAGATTTCTTTTTCAGAAGAAGTCCTCCTTTGGGGTATTTGGTATTTATAAGCATTAAAATGTCCATTTTAAATCCTACGACAGTTGTAACTATATTTTTCAATAAAATATTTACAAAACAAAAAACTTGTTTTGTCTTGTGAGACCACCGCTACAGGGCCCCAGCGAAACCCCTACAGCCAAGAGCAGTTAACTCTCGACTCTACCTCGTACCTCACTTTTCATGCTGTCCTTCTGTTGAATAGACATGCGTGGTGTTCGTTTCGAGTTTGCTCTACTACCGATACAATGAGTGTAAAAGTCTCAATCTGTATGTATAGTTCCTTTCTTTACGCACGGGTGTTAGATGGACTTCATATGTTGATATTCTCATTAATCTTTTGTTGTAACTTTGCCGTGGGTTCTCTGTTTTCCAGCCTTGTGTCAGGCAAAATGGCGGACGTGTGATCATGGTTTCCTTGCTACATGTTCTTGGTAGCTTGTAGTAGGGAGTTCATATATTATGTTTGCATATTATATGGTAGGCTTGCCTAAATTCTCTCTCTTTTCAGCGAATTTGTGGTAAGTCGTCGTTGAGTAATTTTGATAGAGTGTTTGTTTCGTATCACTCGACATTACTCACTAGTGTGTACACGCAGGTGCGGCTAGCCTTTTTTCTGCTTTGCATTGTATGTTTAGTATTTAAATGGCTGTAGCTTGTAGCATTTAAATATCGCCTGTGCGTTTTATTTATTGCTATTTACTTGTGCTTATATCTTTGCTGCTTCACAGTTCCTGCTAGTAACACTGGCGTGGTTCTGTTTGTTGCAGTTTAAGCCCTGTGCGTTGTGCCGTGCACACTACCGGTCATAAGGTGTGCCTCCGGTGTTTAGCCGATGACGCTCACGACGATCAAGGAAGTTCATAATAAGCGCCCTTGCGTCAATATTCCTGTTACATTATGTTGTGTTATGTTACACATATACACATTTCATACGTTTACACACAACGTGGCTCATAGTGGCCGAGGTTGTGTTTTTTGCCTGGGTTTCTGCGCCTCACGCGCATTCTTATAGGCACACAGATTTTATGTTTTTCTCTAATCTGCTTCAGGCGGGGGATAATTTTTGATGAAAGGTTTCTAAGGAAATCCCTTTATTGTCCCCCCCACCTACTCCTCCCCCACAAACAATGTTGCTACACTAATGATTGATTTCTTACTTATAGCAGCAGCGGAGATCGTCGGTGCACGCTCATATCTCAGACGTGGTTTCCAGACTCCGAGAGGATATTGGTACCCGGTCTACGGGTAGAGATTACACCGGCGCATCATTTGGGGGAGGTCCCGACCCGAGCATCGGCCCCGGGGACGCTCTGAACTAGAGGACTAGCAGCGACCCGGGCTTCGGCCCCGGTACGGCGCAGATCACCGGTGCCGGAAGCTCAGGTCTCGGCCTGATGTCTATCAATGCCCAGACCAGGAGGCTGTTGAGTGTGACGGAGCTACCGAGCTGCCAATCACCTCGACGCTCTAAGGTCTACCCGTGTACACCTGGGGAACCCTGCATTGCCAGGCTACACCCATGTGTCCTGGGAACAGGGTTCAGACTCTCTGAACCTGGGGACTAGCACCAACCCGGGCTTCGGCCCCGGTACGGCGCAGATCCCGGGCGCTGGTAGCCCAGGTCTCGGCCTGATGTCTAAGGACGCCCAGACCAGGAGGCTGTTGAGTGTGACGGAGCTACCGAGCTGCCGATCACCTCGACGCTCGAGGTCTACCCGTGTACACCAGGGGAACCCTGCATTGCCAGGCTACTCCCATGTGTCTCGGGACCGGGGATCGGACTAGCACCGACCTGGGCTTCGGCCCTGGTACAGTGCAGATCGCCAGCGCTGTTAGCTCTGGTCTTGGCCTGATGTCTATCGACGCCCTGGCCAAGAGGCTGTTGAGTGTGACGGAAATACCGATCACCTCGACGCACCGAGGTCTACGTGTGTACACCAGGGGAACCCTGCATTGTCAGGCTACTCCGAGGTGTTTCTGAATCGGGGTTCAAATTCGAACCGCCGACCTGATCACTTATATATGGGTATTTGTATAGCAGATCCCCGGTGCTGTTAGCTCAGGTCTTGGCCTGATGCCTATCGACGCCCTGGCCAAGAGGCTGTTGAGTGTGACGGAGCTACCGAACGCACTGAGGTCTACCTGTGTACACCAGGGGAACCCTGCATTGTCAGGCTATTTCCAGGTGTTTCAGAATCGGGGTTCGAACTCGAAACCGCCGACCTGAGCACTTATATATGGGTATTTATATAGCGCTTTAGGCTATGTTTGACTATATGCTCAGTGCGCTTTTGAAAACAGTACTGGGGAAACCCTGATTTATCAGGCTACTCCTATGTGTCTCGGGATTGGGGTTTGGTCTAGAACCGCCGATCTTCGGCTCCGCGGATGCTCTGAACCCTGTAAGTAGCACCGACCCGGGCTTCGGCACTGGTAGGGTGCAGATTCCCGGCGCCGGTAGTTCAGGTCTCAACCTGATGTCTATCGACGCCTTGACCAAGAAGCAATCGAGTGTGCCGGGTGTGTCGGTCACCTCGACGCTCCAAGGTCTGTTGGAGTTTTACCTCCCGGAGGGAAGCCTGATTCCAGCAAGGCATCCGGGACAAGGCCTCACACTCTACTGTCAGTCTGCCGTTTTTTCGCCTTAACAGCTCAACGCTGTATGCTCCACTCGGCGCATCTCTCAGCTCTGCTGAAGGAGCTGTTGGAAAGGGGAAAGAGCGCTGTTGATTTTTCATCGGCGACTCTGGGCGGCATCTGACGGAGGTCAACTCTCATCTAGCTAGGGACTGCATTGTAGCTGTGCCAGCCAAATGATGAGTGCGGTTATGGGCCTATGGCGCCCGGGACTGTTTTGAGGAATATGGAAGTCTGTCGAGCTTTTGTTAATCCATCAGGTGCCCAGGCACTGGCAAGCGTTATGTTGCCGACTGCAGGGGTTTACTGTATTCTGCCACAAACCCCGGTAGAAGTGTGACAGAAGGGTTGGGTACATCCATGCGATACCCACTGATCCGACACTGACAGTATTTTATACTGATCACGTCCGTATTCGCCTCCTAGATACCTACCACTCTCAGTTCGATATTGCTTTCCACGTGACTGCTCATATCAAACTTCCACCCCTTACCCAGCCTTCCACACCGGGTACCGATCTTTCGATAGCTAACCAGTTGGAGTGACTATAACGAACGAACGAAAGGGATCCGTACGGGTACCCATGTGTTCTGTTTGGTGGCGGGAAGACTGGGGAGTCTGCTAACAAGCGGAATTTATTTCGTTGGCTTGTTTCCGTAATTGTTTGGTTACAATGCTAAGGTTTACCTTCCCCTGAGGGGTTGAAGGCAGGCTGGGTAGGGCAGATGCCGCTTTTTGGCAATACACAGCGGCACTGCTCAATGAAGAGATCGCCTTCATTCGCCATTACCGGCTTGACACGCATTCTGAGGATCGTGCTCGATTTGGTCTTTCGGTTCTCTCCAGTGGAGAGTGTCCTGCCACCCTGACCAAGTTAGTAACTGGTCATTGGTATCAGTTCTGTGTTCAATGTCGATACGGTTCATATCGCTACATCGTATAAGCCTTACCACCCTTTCGGGTTGGGTCAGGTTTGGGTGTACAGACATCCCTACGTCCTCTTCACTTAAAGGCAAGAGAGGGCGGGGCCGGTTTTGAACGCTATAACCAGTCATATGCTATTAACCCGTCTTGCGACGGAATTGGGTACAAACCCCCTACGGGTCACTGTTTAGTATGCCTCTCTTTGAGCCGCATGTCACGTGACCAGGTTAGTGTAATAGTGAGCCAACACATGTTCGGCTACGCTTTTCGCTGTTCAGGGCATTTTTTTACGCTAACAGTTTTTCCCTCTTCCCAAGACTTCGGTATTTGGGAGTCTGTGTTAATCAGCACTTTGGGTGATGGTGGTTTACACTGAGAGCGTTTGGTGGGGGTGTTTTATCCTGCTCTTTACTCGTACAATGTATGGCGTTTGTACTCGTTCGTTTTCCTCAGAAGGTTTTAGCGAGGCTAATAATTTCTCTGGGTTTTATCGAGGTCCTGGCAAGCCCTCTTGCAAACAGGAGGGGTGCATTCGAGCGTTAGTTTGCAGTACTTATTAGCTTGACTCCTGGGTTATTGGCTTTTAAGCGTTTATACGCTCTCCCTACCCTTATACCTCTCACCAGGCTTCTCTGGTTCAGGATGTTAAGGTTGGGAGTTGTTTCGACATGTCCCCATACATTCCTTTCCATTATAACAGTTGGGAGTGGGGTTTTATGTCATAATTGATTTGAGCCAATTGACGTATAAGCTTGGGCTCTCTATTTCCCGCCCTAGCCATGCCCCCCGCCTGATTGACATCAGCGGTCAGGTGGTTTGGTAAGTGTTTTTTCTATTTCCGTTTCGTTTGTAGATTTCACTCCACCACAGGTTTAGTTGTTGCCAGACAGAATGCCACTCCCGTCTCAAATATCTTTGGGAGTTTGTCTTATGCTTATATGTACCCCAAAGAGGACTTCTTCTGAAAAAGAATTATACAAACCGTAGAGGTTATGAATTCTTTGAAGAAAGTCCTCCTTGGGGTACGGCCACCCACCTCCCCTCATTCTGTCTGATAAGTTCAGCTTGAAAAGTGAGGTACGAGGTAGACAGCGAGAGTTACCTGCTCTTGGCTGTAGGGGGTCTGGTGGGTCCCTGTAGGTGTGGTCTCACAACACAAAACAAGTTTTTATGTCTGTAAATATTTTATTGAAAAATATAGTTACAACTGTCGTATGATTTAAAATTGACATTTTAATGCTTATATGTACCCCAAGGAGGACTTTCTTCAAAGAATTCATAACCTCTACAGGCTTGTATAAATTTGCTGAATTGCTGCTGTCCATATTGCAGAATGCGGCGTTACAAAAAAGCAACAAAGCGACGCGCCGCATTGCGCCGCACGCGAGCATCGCACATACGCCGCATGGCGCGCGCCGCGACGCGACGCCGCATGCCGCGCCGCGCGCGCGCGCCGCCGCGCATGCGCCGCGCGCACGCGCATGCTTGCGCGCCTTACGCGCGCGCGCCGCGCGACGCGACGCGCGCGCGCGCGCGACGCCTTACGCGACGCGACGCACGCGACGCGACGCGACGCGCCGCGCGCACGCACGCGCAGGCATACGCGCAGGCGTATTGCGCGCATGTATTAATACAAAGCTGTAATATATGAACCCAGGTAAATGAATTGCCTTGCTTTATCCCCTCAGGTCCAGTCCAGAGGAGTCGGAGACAACTGTTCAAGTCTCTGGGCCCCATCCCCTTCCCTGAGCCGACCACACCCAGTGTCCTTGCTACCTTTGCTGCAAAACCCCCCATTGTCAATGGTGATGTTGCAGGTGAGTGTGTCGCCACATTTACTACTAGCACCTTTGTTTCAGGTGAGAATGAGTGCATCAATTGTTGCCGGTGAGAATGTGTGTATATAGTGTGTGTTTCAGGTTGGAATGTGTGTATATAAGTGTGTTTCAGGTGAGAATGTATGTATTTCAGGTGTGTATATTGTGTGTGTTGTTTCAGGTGAGAATGTATGTATTTCAGGTGTGTATATTGTGTGTGTTGTTTCAGGTGAGAATGTATGTATTTCAGGTGTGTATATTGTGTGCATTGTTTCAGGTGAGAATGTATGTATTTCAGGTGTGTATATTGTGTGCGTTGTTTCAGGTGAGAATGTATGTATTTCAGGTGTGTATATTGTGTGCGTTGTTTCAGGTGAGAATGTATGTATTTCAGGTGTGTATATTGTGTGCATTGTTTCAGGTGAGAATGTATGTATTTCAGGTGTGTATATTGTATTGCATTGTTTCAGGTGAGAATTGTATTCAGGTGATATTGTGTGCATTGTTTCAGGTGAGAATGTATGTATTTCAGGTGTGTATATTGTGTGTGCATTGTTTCAGGTGAGAATGTATGTATTTCAGGTGTGTATATTGTGTGCATTGTTTCAGGTGAGAATGTATGTATTTCAGGTGTGTATATTGTGTCGCATTGTTTCAGGTGAGAATGTATGTATTTCAGGTGTGTATATTGTGTGCGTTGTTTCAGGTGAGAATGTATGTATTTCAGGTGTGTATATTGTGTGCATTGTTTCAGGTGAGAATGTATGTATTTCAGGTGTGTATATTGTGCGTTGTTTCAGGTGAGAATGTATGTATTTCAGGTGTGTATATTGTGTGCATTGTTTCAGGTGAGAATGTATGTATTTCAGGTGTGTATATTGTGTGCATTGTTTCAGGTGAGAATGTATGTATTTCAGGTGTGTATATTGTGTGCGTTGTTTCAGGTGAGAATGTATGTATTTCAGGTGTGTATATATGTGTGTTGTTTCAGGTGAGAATGTATGTATTTCAGGTGTGTATATTGTGTGCGTTGTTTCAGGTGAGAATGTATGTATTTCAGGTGTGTATATTGTGTGCGTTGTTTCAGGTGAGAATGTATGTATTTCAGGTGTGTATATTGTGTGCGTTGTTTCAGGTGAGAATGTATGTATTTCAGGTGTGTATATTGTGTGCGTTGTTTCAGTTGAGAATGTATATATTTCAGGTGTGTATATTGTGTGCATTGTTTCAGGTGAGAATGGTAGCAGTGTGAAGCGTCAGCGTCCCATCAGCCCAATGGAAGTTACGGAGGAGGACTTCCGTCAGATGCTGAGGAGTCACAAGAGGAAGAAGGCTGATAGTGTGGTAAGCTGGTAATGAAGTCCTGTACTGAGTGGGGTGTTCTTGTTATACTGAAACATGTTGAACCAGTTCTGTGTAACTGGTATCTGCTTGAACTAACACAAGCAGCCCCAACATACATGCAATAATCTAGTGGTTAAAGCATGTGCTCGTCATGCTGAAGACCCAGGTTCGATTCCCCACATGTGTGAAGCCCATTTCTGGTGTCCCCAACCATGATATTGCTGGAATATTGCTAAAAGCAGTGTAAAACTTAACTCACTCACTCACTGTGTATGGTTCCATACAGTATCTGAATCTATATGGTTTTATACAGTGGCTGACCCAATATAGATGAATACATTGTATTTCTCTACTGAATTGTTGTGTTCCAGGAGTTGCCCGAGTTGGACACACAGAATATCACGCTACAGGACATTCTGTCTCGGTGTCAGGCCAATAAGAAAATCACAGCCAAAGCATCTCCATCTTCAAGTACAAGTAAGTGGCTTTGACCTGAATCTTAGGCCAGGAAGACTCTCCCCATCATTGTTGATATTATATTGGTTCTTCCTGTCCTTGCCTCTTCCCCTTTGTGTTTGTTGAGGACATACATGACAATAGTAGACAACTTTGCTCATACTATCAATCACTGTTTTTCCCCATTCTCAGTCATTTACTGGCTCTGTCACATAGCCTGAACATGTGGCGTTAATCAACAGACATGCAAACTTTGCTCACTTTACTTGATGTTTTATGTCACGAGTGATTCTATTAGCTTCACCAACAGCAACAACAGCAGCAGCAACATCATCGGCACCAACAACACAAACCTCACCAGTGTTGAAGAAGAAGATCAAGGGGAAGGATAGGGAGGAGAAGAAAGCCAAGAAGAAGATCAAGACAGAGTCTGTGGATTCTGGCAGTGTGGATGAGAGAGTTGCCTCCCCTTCCATACAGACGGCCAGCACGGGACTGGAGGTCCATCCAGATATCCTTACAAGGGAGGACGACACTGTGCCTGACTTTCCTTTACCTGAGTGAGTTTAGTGTTAAAATAGAGTTCCATTTGCTTGATTTGTGTGCAGACTGAGCTGAATCTATTTGATCAAAACTTTTCTTCCGGCAGTGATTGTGTAGATTTACATCTTACATATATGCTAAAAGCAGCATAAATTAAACCCACTCACTCACTCTTACATATATGCCTATGGGCATTCCATATTGGAGGGGCGATGGGGTAGCCTAATGGTTGATTCGTCCGCTCGTCACACTGAAGACATAGGTTCGATTCCTCACATGGGTACAATGTGTGAAGCCCATTTCTGGTGTCCCCGCTGTGATATTGCTGGAATATTGCTAAAAGCGGCGTAAAACCATAATCACTCACTCACTCTTGCAAGTAATGTGGTCCATGATGACCTTTAAGACATGTATCTCATGCTTTTTGTATAGAACAAAGGCCTCTGAGTTCATCTAGAGCATCTTGGCTATTTGGCCATTTGTGTTCATACTACTTCTGGTACACAAAGGTACACAAAGGATTTTATAAAATCGTTTTGAAATGTGGCCTGTCCAAGGACTGGCTGTCCAAAAAAGTGACCTGGGCCCCGTTCCTCAAAGCGATCGTAGCGCTATGACAGTCGTAACTCCCATACTTTAACATAGACTTACGACTGTCGTAGCGCTACGATCGCTTTGTGGAACGGGGCCCAGTCCTGAACAAACACAGCCATTATGAAAACTAAAACAATAAAAAAATCAACAAATGTTGAAACGAGAACAAGAAAGAGCATGAGTGCTAAGACGAAGTTCAAACCAAGTTAAGTTTATGGTTTTCAAATATTTCCCCCCGACCAAAGGATGGCCTTACTTATTTAATAGACCGTCCTTCGCAAAAATAGACCGTCAAGGACGGTGGACGGGCTATATTTTATACACTGACTTCAGTGGTCTAATGGATACAGACGAGCAAATATAATGACATTGTTTTGAGCTGTAGAGACAAATGATTCTAAGCCTTGAGCTGACTTCTGTTTAATGCCATGGAAGGTAAACATGCAGTTTATCCTTTTTTTTCAGCACTGGACCGTCAAAGTTAGACAACTTCTTCAGTTTACTGCGTGATGTGATAAATGAATTTCCTGATCAGCGAGTAACCACAGCCAAGGTCAGTGTTTGTTGAGAGGGAGGTATATCTTAAAATGTTTACCATGCTCCGATTGACTAGCCTTTCACAACTGGCCTCTCACCATCGTTTGTCGATCAACAGGAGTGTTTGAATGATATAGAAAGTATCTGTACATGACTGCATAGCTTTTGTTCTTTTTATTTTTCTTGTGTTGGAATGAGTGATGTCTGTTTGGATCAGGTTTTACCTCACTTGAACTTGGGGTTCCAGTTTTAGCTCACCTGAACTGGGGGTGCCAGTTTTAGCCCATCTTAACTAGTGGTTAGAGTGTTAGCTCACCTGAATTCGGGCCCCCAGTTTAAACTCTCCTGAACCCGTAGGCTCCAGTTTTAGCTCACCTTAACTGAGGGCTCCAGTTTTAGCTCACCTTTACTTGGTATCCCAGTTTTAGCTCACCTGAACTGGGGGGTTCCAGTTTTAGCTCACCTGAACTTGGGGTTCTAGTTTTAGCTCACTTGAACTCAGGATTCCAGTATTAGCTCGTCTTAACTATGGGTTCGAGATTTAGCTCACCCTAATTCAGGCCTCCAGTTTTAGCTCACCTTTACTTGGTATCCCAGCTTTAGGTCCCCTGACCTCAGGGTTCCAGTTTAAACTCATCTGACATGTTTTAGCTCACCTGAACTCGGGGTTCCACTTTTAGCTCATCTCAACTGGGGGTTCCAGTTTTAGCTCACCTGAATTCAGGCCTCCAGTTTTAGCTCACCTTAACCCATAGGCTCCAGTTTCAGCTCACCTCAACTGGGGGCTCCAGTTTCAGCTCACCTTTACTTGGTATCCCAGTTTTAACTCACCTGAACTGGGTGCTCCAGTTTTAGCTCACCTGAACCTGGGATTCCAGTTGTAGCTCGTCTTAACTGGGGGCTCCAGTTTTAGCTTGTCTTAACTAGGGGTTGGAGTTTTAGCTCACCTGAATTCGGGCCTCCACTTTTAGCTCACCTGAACCCGTAAGCTCCAGTTTTAGCTCACCTTAACTGAGGGTTCCAGTTTTAGCTCACCCGAACTCAGTGCTTCAGTTTTAGCTAACCTGACCATGTGGTTCCAGTTTTAGCTCACCCGAACTTGGGGCTCCAGTTTTAGCTAACCTGACCATGTGGTTCCAGGTTTAGCTCACCTGAGCTGGAGGGTTCCAGTTTTAGCTCACCTGAGCCTGGAGGGTTCCAGTTTGAGCTCACCTGAACTTCGGGGTTCCAGTTTTAGTGCACCTGAACTCCGGGGTTCCAGTTTTAGTGCACCTGAACTCGGGATTCCAGTTTTAGCTCGTCTTAACTGGGGGTTCCAGTTTTAGCTCGTCTTAACTAGGGGTTCGAGTTTTAGCTCAATTGAATCTGAACTTGGCTTCTGCAAGTGCAACAAAGATTTATTTCAAATGGTTCTGGGGGATTCTTTTGAGCATAGCGTGTTATGAAAATGTCAAAGGTCAAGGTTACAATGAAAAAACAATGTTGTTAGTTTCTCAAAGGGTGTAATAACTTTGGCTTAGTCTCCTCTAGGACAGCTGCTAAGATGAAAAGGTTTTGTTCAATATTTGTCATAGGTAAAGGTCAGCATTCACTTTTTCGTAATGGTTTTGCCATTGTTACTGCTAAATACTTGAAATATGTATAAATGAAATACTGGTACAGTATGTATAAAAGTTTTGTTTTACCTTAGGTTGGTCTGTACCTTTGACATGAAAGGGAGGTAATATTGTGATGTCTTGTTACTGCCGGAAGCAAGGGAGGTAATATGTGATGTCTTGTTACTGCCAGGAGCAAGGGAGGTAATATTGTGATGTCTTGTTACTGCTGGGAGCAAGGGAGGTAATATTGTGATGTCTTGTTACTGCCGGAAGCAAGGGAGGTAATATTGTGATGTCTTGTTACTGCTGGAAACAAGGGAGGTAATATTGTGATGTCTTGTTACTTCCGGAAGCACGTGAGGTAATATTGTGATGTCTTGTTACTGCCGGAAGCAAGGGAGGTAAAATTGTGATGTCTTGTTACTGCCGGAAGCAAGGGAGGTAATATTGTGATGTCTTGTTACTGCCGGGAGCAAGGGAGGTAATATTGTGATGTCTTGTTAAGCAAGGGAGGTAATATTGTGATGTCTTGTTACTGCCGGGAGCAAGGGAGGTAATATTGTGATGTCTTGTTACTGCTGGGAGCAAGGGAGGTAATATTGTGATGTCTTGTTACTGCTGGGAGCAAGGGAGGTAATATTGTGATGTCTTGTTACTGCTGGGAGCAAGGGAGGTAATATTGTGATGTCTTGTTACTGCTGGGAGCAAGGGAGGTAATAATGTGATGTCTTGTTACTGGCTTGTTACTGCCGGGAGCAAGGGAGGTAATATTGTGATGTCTTGTTACTGCCGGGAGCAAGGGAGGTAATATTGTGATGTCTTGTTATTGGCTTGTTACTGCTGGGAGCAAGGGAGGTAATACTGTGATGTCTTGTTACTGCTGGAAGCAAGGGAGGTAATATTGTGATGTCTTGTTACTGGCTTGTTACTGCTGGGAGCAAGGGAAGTAATATTGTGATGTCTTGTTACTGCCGGGAGCAAGGGAGGTAATATTGTGATGTCTTGTTACTGGCTTGTTACTGCTGGAAGCAAGGGAGGTAATACTGTGATGTCTTGTTACTGCTGGAAGCAAGGGAGGTAATACTGTGATGTCTTGTTACTGCTGAAAGGAAGGGAGGTTATACTGTGATGTCTTGTTACTGCCGGAAGCAAGGGAGGTAATATTGTTCCCCTCTTTTACAGCTGGAAGAGAGGATTCGAGAATGGCAGGAGTCCCCATCAAGCTCTCTCAACTCATGGTTTCCAATCCAGGCGTCATGGGTAGACTGCGTTGTGTCTGCTCTCAAATTCCTGTCTGGGGATGTACTGGGTGAGATATTATTGATCTATTGTAGCTGATGATGACTGTCGTACCCAACCAAACAAAAAGAGTAACAAACTTGAATACACAGTGGAATCTGTCAAATCCGGACTCTGTGTAATCCGGACTGTGTATTCCGGTTTTCTTCATAATTCGGACTACTTTTGGACTACATCTAATTTATTTCTGTTGGTGTCCTAATTGCGGCCAACTCAGACCACAAGACTGGCAGTTACTGTCTTGGATGTTCAACGGAAGTATGTTCTAATAAACACTTCTAATCACTATCATATTGCATCTAAATGAAGTGTAGTTGACAGAAAATGGATACACATACATATTTCGTTTCGCTAAAAGTCATAATTGGTGTAGCTGGATATCACATGTCAAGAAACTGTTATCGCGGTGGAAATAGCGAGATCGCATGAAACATAAACTTAGTTATGATCATGAAATGATGCAATGCTGGACTCTTTTTAAAATAATAGTTTCAGATACTATATTGTTCCAATCACTGCATCAGAATTCATCTCCTGATATTATTGCGTATGTTTTATCTAAATCACCGGTAGTGGGGAAACGTGCACAGCTGATTGCTATTTCCGGCTCTGTATACAAGACAAATAAACACGGTAATCTTAATCCCTGCATATAAGACAATGCCTAGCAAAAACAAACAGATTCCTCTGTATTGAACATGCACAACAAACTGATTTCGACAACATGTAGCAGTAGGGGGATGGGGTAACCTTGTGGTTAAAGCGTTCGCTCATGCCAAAGACCTGGGTTTGATTCCCCTCATGGGTACAATGTGTAAATCCCATTTCTGGTGTCTCTCGCCGTGGTATTGCTGGAATATTGCTAAAAGCGGCGTAAAACTAAACTCACCTGGAGCAGTCAATTTTATCAAACCTTCTCAAGTGCTGTTTTACCTGTGAAGATATGGGTTAGAATATTGATCTTCAGTAACCCATGCTTGTCGTAAGAGGCAACTAACGGGATCAGATGGTCAGACTCCCGGACTTGGTTGACACATGTCATCGGTTCTCAATTGCGTAGATCGATGCTCATTCTGTTGATCACTGGATTGTCTGGTCCAGACTTGATTATATACAGACCGCTGCCATATAGCTGGAATATTGCTGAGTGCGGTGTAAAACTAAACTCACTCACTCAAGTGCTTTTTTGGGTTTAGATGACTTTGTTCATGAAACAGTCAGACTGATTTGACATACTGCCAACTACCAACATAGGAATATAATTATATACTCAGGATACACATGCCATGTCTATGTAGGTACCGATAAGTCTTGGCTGTGTTCTGGTCCAAACATATTCTGCCAAACATTTTAATTTAAGTCTGTTAAAAGAAAGAGAGGCTGGTGTGGCAGCCTTGTGGTTAAAGCATTTGCTTGTCACGCTGAAGACCTCAGTTGGATTCCCCAGTGTGCAATGTGTGAAACCTGTGTCTGGTGTCCCTTGGCGTGATATGGCTGGAATATTGCCCAAATATTGCCGGAAATAGCAATCAGATGTGCAGTGCACACATTCCCCTACTGGTGTTTTAGTTAAAACGTACCCGATAATATTCCGAGATGAATTAATAATAATAATAATAATAATAATGCACATTTATAATGCGACTTTTCCATGCCCTTGGGTATGCTCAAAGTGCTACAAAGATGAAGATGGGTGAAGTGATGAGAAGTATACTGAGAAAAAGTGGGTTTTCAGTTTTGCTTTAAAACTATCAAAACTGTCAGAGTCTTTGATGTCATATGGAAGAACATTCCAGAGGGCCGGTGCTGTGTAGGAGAAGCTGCGGTGTCCGAAGATTTCAGTTTGTAGGAGGGTATCACAAGAAGATTCTGAGAGTTGGAACGAGATCACGCGGGCAGGTACATATGGGTGAAGCAGGTCAGAGAGGTAGGAAGGGGCCAAGCCATGGAGACATTTGTACGCCAGGGGAGAGAATTTTGAAATCGATTCTTGCCTTGACTGGAAGCCAGTGGAGTTCTTTAAGGACAGGAGTGATGTGGACACGCTTTAGAAGTTCTACTGATAATGCGGCAGAGGTGTTTTGAATCCTCTGCAGTTTATCAATCAGATTGGAGTTGGTGCCAGAAAGAACACTGTTACAATAGTCGAGCCTGGATGTTACAAGAGCTCCGAACAAGGGCTTGAGTTGCTGCAGAAGTCGGCACTGGCTAATGTTGCTGATCGACCTGAGATGGAAGAAGCATGTTTTGCTCACTTGGTTAACATGGGCATTGAACGCCAAAGAAGAATCAATGTGAACGCCAAGATTCCTCACAACATCTGATGGACGGATATCCGCATCTGCAACTTTGAGGGTGACAGCATCCACCTTGCTTAGTTGTTGTCTTGTGCCCACAAGGAGTGCTTCGGTTTTCGTGTCATTCAGCTTGAGCTTGTTTGTAGTCATCCATGACTTTATGTCTAGTGTACAGTCAGCGATGCGTTGAAGAGACTCATTCAACTCTGATGGGTGAAACGATTCCAGAAGCTGGGTGTCATCAGCATAAACATGGTGAGACATATCATGATCACTGACAATGTATCCAACATGCCCTGTGTACAACACAAACAGAACCGGGCCAAGAACCGATCTGATGCAGTGATCTTAAAAAGATAGTATCTCAAACTGTTGTTTTATAAAAAGAAATATATTCTAGTTTTGTGTCATTTTCATTGCAGGTTGTGCTCTATAATTGTAAAATATTTATAATCATAACTAAGGTTATGCGGCATCAGTTTGGTGTTATGCCGGATAGTTTTTATGCATGGCACAATTTAACCTGTCACCGATGAAGCAGTTTGTTGACATGTGATCGTCCAGCTACACTAATTATGACTTTGGGCGAAACAAAATATGTATATCCATTTACTGTCAACTACACTTCATTTCGAGACATGAGTAGACGCAATATGTCAGTGATTGCTGTGAAGTAAGTACATTGTGTTGAGGAATTACAGGTAGGCGAACATCTTGAGTTCTTGACATTGTTTGATCACGTAATTTGTAAACATGGACCAGGAATAATTGCTTTGATGTTGTTATCTGAGAGAATAAACAAATTACATGTTGTTCCTACTTGAGTATTTGTCATGACTTCACCATGAATATTTTGCTTTGTATGATTATTCGCACAATCTTTTTGCGCTAAAAGCGCGAAAATTAATCCCGCGCGAAAATAACTACGATTACAGTATTTCCTTTTAGGGGTGGTGAGGTAGCCTGGTGGTTAAAGTGTTTGCTCGTCAAGCCGAAGACCTGGGTTCGATTCCCCACATGGGTACAATGTGTGAATCCCATTTCTGGTGTCCCCTGTTGGATTATTGCTGGAATATTGCTGAAAGCGGCGTAAAACTAAAAACTCTCCCTATTTCCCTTTACATACTAATAACTATTGCTTATAAAATCTGAATATGTTTTTATGTTGCGACCCTAATCTGTCAGGCCACTGATTTAGTGTCCAACTGCTAATGAGTCATCTATCTATAAGGCTTTGTATTGGTATCAGGTCTGTCGGTAGACAACTTCATCCCTTATTTGGACTATAAGGAGCGGGCCCAGCAGTGGAAGTGGATTGGGATGGGGAGAGACACGGAAACAGAGTTAGCTCCCCTGTTCCAGCACTGGATGAAGAACAAGGATAACGTGATGGCCGACGGCCTGGACTCCAGTCAGGGCTCACCGCCCCCACCTAGAGCGTCAGTATATCAATACTGCATCAGTGTGTCCCTAAGACCCTCCTAAGATTTACCTTCGTCCATATATTTTCAAATCTTTAGGACTAGCAATTTTACTTCAGGGAATACAATATTTAAAAAAAAATTGTGCTCATTTTTAACTAAAAAGGAATATCCCCCAATAATATTCATGATTCTTTCTATTTTGTCCAGTATAGAACAGTATCGTGGGGCAATGGACATATCACATGAGTTCAGGTTGAACTGTTCTCTGTTTCCAGGAAGACGGCATTTGTTGTGCGACCAACCAGTCAGGAGGAAAAAGCTACATTCCAGGAGCAGGTCAGTTGGCTTGGAATACTTGTGTGGGAGTATGGATGGGGTGGGTTTTTGTGGGGAGGGGTGGGGTATGGATGGGGTGGGGTTTTGTGGGGTGGGGTATGGATGGTGTGGGTTTTGTTTGGGGAGCCGGGTGGGTATGGATGGTGTGGGGTATGGCTGGTGTGGGGTTTGTGGGGGAGCCGGGTGGGGTATGGATGGTGTAGGGTTTGTGGGGAGCCGGTGGGGTATGGATGGTGTGGGTTTTGTGGGGAGCCGGGTGGGGTATGGACGGTGTGGGTTTTGTGAGGAAGGGGTGGGGGGTATGGATGGTGTGGATTTTGTGAGGAATGGGGTGGGGTATGGATTGTGTGGGTTTTTGTGAGGAAGGGGGTGGGGTATGGATGGTGTGGGTTTTGTGAGGAAGGTTGTGGGGTTGGGTATGGATTGGGTGGTTTTGTGAGGAAGGGGTGGGGGTATGGATGGTGTGGGTTTTGTGAGGGATGGGGTGGGTTATGGATGGTGTTGGTTTTGTGAGGGAGGGGTGGGGTATGGATGGTGTGGGTTTTGTGAGGGAGGGATGGGGTATGGATGGTGTTGGTTTTGTGAGGAATGGGGTGGGGGTATGGATGGTGTTGGTTTTGTGAGGAATGGGGTGGGGTATGGATGGTGTGGGTTTTGTGAGGAATGGGGTGGGGTATGGATGGTGTGGGTTTTGTGAGGGAAGGGGTGGGGTATGGATGGTGTGGGTTTTGTGAGGGAGGGGTGGGGTATGGATGGTGTGGGTTTTGTGAGGGAGGGGTGGGGGTATCGATGGTGTGGGTTTTGTGGGGAAGGGTGGGGGTTATGGATGGTGTGGGTTTTGTGAGGGGAAGGGGTGGGATATGGATGGTGTGGGTTTTGTGAGGAAGGTTGTGGGGTCTGGTATGGATGGGGTGGTTTTGTGAGGAAGGGGGTGGGGTATGAATGGGGTGTTTTTTGTGAGGAAGGGTGTGAAATGGGGTGGTTTTTGTGAGGAATGGTTGTTGGGTGGGGTATGGTTGGGATGGTTTTGTGAGGAAGGGTGTGGGGTGGGGTAATTATGCAGATCACGTTGATATAATGGTTATGCATGGACTGCATCAATTGACTGAAATCAATGTTTCAGGAGAAGAAGAGGTTTGAGAATCCCCACAAGGCTTTCATCTACCACATGCATGGCTATGAGTCTGTGGTGGGGCCAGTGAAAGGCGTCTACAGCAAGGATAACGCCATGAACAAGGCCAGGGAACATGCCCTGCTGGTGTCTGACCGACCAGCCTTTGTCACCATACTCACATTAGGTAGGGCACAAACTTTGTCACCATACTCACATTAGGTAGGGCACAAACTTTGTCACCATACTCACATTAGGTAGGGCACAAACTTTGTCACCATACTCACATTAGGTAGGGCACAAACTTTGTCACCATACTCACATTAGGTAGGGCTAAACCTTTGTCACCATACTCACATTAGGTAGGGCTAAACCTTTGTCACCATACTCACATTAGGTAGGGCTAAACCTTTGTCACCATACTCACATTAGGTAGGGCACAAACTGTGTCACCATACTCACATTAGGTAGGGCACAAACTTTGTCACCATACTCACATTAGGTAGCACAAACTTTGTCACCATACTCACATTAGGTAGGGCACAAACTTTGTCACCATACTCACATTAGGTAGGGGGGCACAAACTGTGTCACCATACTCACATTAGGTGGGGCACAAACTTTGTCACCATACTCACATTAGGTGGGGCACAAACTTTGTCACCATCTTTACATTAGGTAGGGCAAAAACTTTGTCACCATACTCACATTAGGTAGGGCTAAAACTTTGTCACCATACTCACATTAGGTAGGGCACAAACTGTGTCACCATACTCACATTAGGTAGGGCACAAACTGTGTCACCATACTCACATTAGGTAGGGCACAAACTTTGTCACCATACTCACATTAGGTAGGGCAAAAACTTTGTCACCATCTTTACATTAGGTAGGTTGGTTATTTTGTCAACATATTTAAGTAGATCATCCATATACTGACATTAAAAGGTCATAATTGACCATTTAGAGTGCTTCTTTTCTTTGTATGTGTTGGACATAGCTTATGATATTTTCATCATTTTATATGATGGAATCATTTCTCGGAGAGGTTTCTTTCCTAAATTATCTCCCTTGTATGCTTCCAGTGCGTGATGCGGCAGCCCGATTGCCGAACGGTGAGGGAACGAGGGGGGACATCTGTGAGCTGCTGAAAGACTCTCAGTTCCTGGCTCCAGGGGTCACAGATACACAGGTGGGTGGGTCTTCGGTAACCATGGAAACCTTCTGTTCGTTTGTTTGTTTGGTGTTTAACACCACACCCGTTAAGAATTCAAGGTATATGTTGACAGTCTGTACTGACTGAGTTTTACGCCGCTTTTAACAATATTCCAGCAATATCACGGCGGGGGACACCAGAAATGGGCTTAACACATTGTGCCCATGTGGGGAATCGAACCCGGGTCTTCTGCGTGAAGAGCCAACGCTTTAACCGCTAGGCTACCCCGCCGCCCCCGACAGTCTGTAAATAATCGAGTCTGGACCAGACAATCTAGTGATCAACAGCATGAGCATCGATCTACTCTATTGGGAACTGTTGACATTTGTCAACCAAGTCAGCAAGCCTGACCACCCGATCTCGTTAGTCGCTCTTATGACAAGCATGGGTTACTGAAGACTAAAAACCATGGAAACTTATAGTCACATTAATCATGATCATGGCATTCATTTCCATATCATATTACCACCATGCCAATATTTGCCGATTTCATTTCAGGGATAAACTTGTGTTTTTGGAATTTTGTGTTTAGAAGGTTTCAGCTATGTAGCTGAAATTCTGTTTGGTGTGGCACTGAACCTAATTTTCACACTTTGTGTTGAAAGTTTTTAGAAATAATATGTTTCTAGGTAGCCATGGTAACAATAAGTTCAAACATAATTCAGTAGAATTTAGTTGAGTCTTTTGTAAAAGCTCACGAATCCTGGTAGAAATTTGGAGGAAAATTCAACAAGACTAAATATAGATTTCTTTTGGAAATGGCATCAGTAGCCATGATACATGCCATTCCACTGGTGTCGGTACCGAGTGATACAGGTAATGTGATTGTCGTGGACAGATCAATACTGTGGTGAGTGGGGCTCTGGACAGGCTGCACTCGGAGAAGGACCCGTGTGTCAAGTACGATGTCAATCGCAAACTCTGGATTTATCTCCACAGGAACAGGACAGAGGAAGAATTTGGTAAATTCCATTTGATTCTTTATTTGTAATTTACGAAGAAAAAATCTAAAAGAATATGTATCTCACTGTTTTATACCACTGAAATCATGGGTATTTCTTATTCACCTCAGGTTATTGAAGTATGAATAAGTCAAGTAGAGCTTTGTAAAGTGATACTATAAGATTATTGATTGGGACCATTATCAAATCCAGCTTTGATGCCTCAGTGACTCTAAGTTAATTAGGAGGCATGGAGGACCTTGTCTAAGGCTCCACAGTGTACGGAGTTGCGTCCCTTAGGGATGCCAGTATGCTGTAACCTTGGGATGGAATCATCGTTTAAAGGCAAACAATTGAAATAGTTTCACTTTGCTTGAATTAAACTAACATACCTCCTGAAATTTCTGTCTTCCAGAACGAATCCACCAAGCTCAGGGTGCAGCAGTCAAAGCCAAGAAATCTCTACAGAAACCCAAGACCGCAAAAACAGTAAGTCCTGATATGAGTGCACTGTTATTAAGAACTGGCGTGGGCTGTTTTGTGTATTTGTGGTTTTATGACTCACTCGGCAATATTCCTGCTGTGTGATGGCAGACTGTAAATAGTCAGGGGCTCCTTTCACAAAGCACTATGGTGATCGTAAGTCACTAAGGTAACCTTAGTGCAATGTTAAAGAATGGGAGTTAAGGTTAACCTTAGTATGGGTTTCTTTCGTGAAAGGAGACCCTGGACCACACAGTCCAGTGATTGAGCACTGAAACTGGAATGTGATGCCATGATTCTAACGATGGATACTGACAGAGGGAAGTGGGATGAATGACAGTGTTTGTCAATATTCCAGCTATATGGCAGCGGTCTGTAAATAATCGAGTCTGAACCAGACAGTCCAGTGCTCAACAGCATGAACATCGATCTACCCAATTACGATGACATGTGTGAACCAAGTCAGCAAGCCTGACCACTCGATCACGTTATTTGTATCTTAGGACAAGCATGTATTAATGAAGACAATTCTAACCCGGATCTTCATGGGTCTAGTGGAATGAATGACAGTGTTTGTCCGGTTGACTCCTGTGTGTGACAGTTAGCACATGGCCATGTTGACATGTATGCTTCCCAGAGAATAAATGTCTGTCATGCCATGACACACTAAGTCACATGATAACATGCCTTGACACCTCAACTAAGTCACATGATAACATGCCATGACACCTCAACTAAGTCACATAACATGCCATGACACCTCAACTAAGTCACATGATAACATACCATGACACCTCAACTAAGTCACATGATAACATACCATGACACCTCAACTAAGTCACATGATAACATGCCATGACACCTCAACTAAGTCACATGATAACATGCCATGACACCTCAACTAAGTCACATGATAACATGCCATGACACCTCAACTAAGTCACATGATAACATGCCATGACACCTCATCTAAGTCACATGATAACATGCCACGCATGATACGGCACCTCATCTAAGTCACATGATAACATGCCACATGGCACCTCATCTAAGTCACATAACATGCCATGACACCTCAACTAAGTCACATGATAACATGCCATGACACCATGACACCTCAACTAAGTCACATGATAACATGGCACCTCAACTAAGTCACATGATAACACCATCACCTCAACTAAGTCACATGATAACATGTCATGGACACCTCAACTAAGTCACATGATAACACATGGCACCTCAACTAAGTCACATGATAACATGTAACATGCCACACCTCAGTCACTAAGTCACATGATAAGTCACATGTCATGACACCTCAACTAAGTCACATGATAACATGCTAAGTCATGCCACACCTCACACTACAGTCTAAGTCATGATAACATGCCATGCCATGCACCTCAACTAAGTCACATGATAACATGTCATGACATAAACATGATAACATGCCATGACACCTCAACTAAGTCACATGATAACATGCCATGACACCTCAACTAAGTCACATGATAACATGTCATGACACCTCAACTAAGTCACATGATAACATGCCATGACACCTCAACTAAGTCACATGATAACATGCCATGACACCTCAACTAAGTCACATGATAACATGTCATGGCACCTCAACTAAGTCACATGATAACATGCCATGGCACCTCAACTAAGTCACATGATAACATGCCATGACACCTCAACTAAGTCACATGATAACATGCCATGACACCTCAACTAGGTCACATGATAACATGTCCAGAAACCTCAACTAAGTCACATGATAACATGGAATGGCACCTCAACTAAGTCACATGATAACATGCCATGACACCTCAACTAGGTCACATGATAACAGTCACATGATAACTAAATGTCACATGATAACATGGAATCAACTAAGTCACATGATAACATGTCATGGAATGTCATGGCACCTCAACTGATAACATGACACCTCAGTCACATGATAACATGTCATGACACCTCAACTAAGTCACATGATAACATGCCATGACATCAACTAAGTCACATGATAACATGTCATGACACCTCAACTAAGTCACATGATAACATGCCATGACACCTCAACTAAGTCACATGATAATGTCACATGACACACCTCAACTAAGTCACATGATAACATGCCATGACACGTCAACTAAGTCACATGATAACATGTCATGACACCTCAACTAAGTCACATGATAACATGTCATGACACCTCAACTAAGTCACATGATAACATGTCATGGCACCTCAACTAAGTCACATGATAACATGTCATGGCACCTCAACTAAGTCACATGATAACATGCCATGACACCTCAACTAAGTCACATGATAACATACCATCACAGATTAACTCTTATGTATCATGTATCATACTAGTTCACTACCTCAGTTTGTGGACGACAGTTTATTGAATTATCATGTATTATTTTGTTTTTGCTTCAGATCAAAGATGCAATATCCGCCCAATCTGCTCCACGCCAGACAGTCTCCACCAATCTTGCCACAGAGGCTGCCGCCACCCTCAATGTTGAAGATCTCGCCACTCTGCAGTCTCAGGCATTGACCAGCCCCTCCATTGTACACAGCCCCAAAACTCTTGGCCAGACCACGTTCGCACGGACACCACAGTCAAGTCCCAAGATGGCCTCTCCTAAAAATGCAAATCTGACCTTGACCTCATCTTCTTCCCTCAGTGCTTCTCTTGCTCAATCTCCTCTCAAGAACACTACCCATCTGCTGACATCACCCACCAGTCTAGCTCAAACATCCAAACCTGTGGGCGTCCCTATGGTGACGGCCACAGTCCCAGGTGCTATAACAGCCATTTCTCAGGTGAAGGCTGAAACTGTTGGACGTAAAAATCAAACTGTGAACTTGCTGCAACAGCAGCATTTAATAAGACAAGGCGGTGCCATCACCGCAGCATTAGCCAATCAGCAAGTAGGGCAGAATGTAACCATGACAACAAAGGGCGAGATGGTGCTACAGCGACCAACCAGTACGTCAGTGACTGTTGCAGGTGCTCATCAGGTGCCAAACACAGCCAAACTTATCTCGTTAGCACAGGTGACGACAGGTATGGGGACGATGACGACTCCGGTGTCGACGGTGGTGAGTTCGATGTCTGGAGCGGACAGTCAGGCTGTAGCAAGGCTGATACAGCAGGTGCAAGGGGGACCACAGATGTTGTCAGTCAGCAACCTTCTGGCTGCTGGAGGGGCAAGTACACCCAGATTACAGGGTGCAAACCCACGCACAACAACCATCAAGATTCAAGGTGAGCTCAGAGCTTAGCCAAGTCTTTTTTGGCAGAAAATATTCAAAGCGTTCAATAGCAGTACTTCCCTCAGGCATGGGTCGTACAGCAGGTGCCTGTCATTTTGAATACCCTGTATAAACCTGTACCAGGTTGAATGAGTAGAAAACAAATATGGACTGTCACTTTCCCTGTCTGGTGAACATAATTCTGGTTGGTTAGATGAAAGTTTTCATGTGAACAGTAATGGGGTGATCTCAGATTTTAGCACAGCGATAACGAGATCAAACATCTGATTTTGACATTGTGATTATTTCAGGAAGCAGCATAGTCCCTCCTGTTGGAGGCAAACCCATCCAGATCAGTGGGAAGCCCCTCACTCACTCTAAGAGCCTGATGCAGCTAGGGGGAAAGAACCAGCAGTCCCTGGGGATGATCCACACACAACAGTTGTCGGCAATCAGTATCATACCACAGACAATCACCACCTGCATCGCCACCCTCTCACAGCCGCGCAGTGTCGTGTCTTCAGGTAGCCATGTTAACACAAGGCTCGGGTGGTTCAGTCGTTGAAGTGTTTGCTTGACAAGTCAAATGTCTAGCTCCTCATGTCCTGAACAATATTTGCCTTCTAAATGATATTTTAGTATATTATGATATTCAGTTTTCAAATTTTGAAATGAGAACTGAAAATAGGTTTCAAGTCATAATCAGGTATGAGGGTTGCCATTTTGATACTAGAACCATAAAACTCCAAGAACATTTGTTGATTCTATGTAGGGTAGAGATAAATTATGTCTGATATTAAATCATAGAGGGATGTTGTTTTGTGGTTTACAAAAGAGACAGATTTAATGATCATTGAGATTTTAGTTTGGTAAGTTCATGATAAGTATATAGAATAGCCTCCCTTAGATGAGCCAGGTTCTGCTTTCTGTTTAGATCCAAGATACATAATGTCCCCAGTTCTTGGTTTATGAGTTCTATTTCCATGCTAACAAGAGTCACCAATGTGGTCTTTGACCTCTGTGACTTTGAACTTTGTTCCCAAATTATGTTGACAAACGTAACTGACAAATATTTTGAAGATATTTAAACCTTACTCATTTTTGTTTTCAGCGACCTCCAACACAGGTGTGACGGAGGTATCCACAAGCGGACAACAGCACATGACGGTGGGGCAGCCAAAGATGACCATAGTGGGTCAGGTGGGGCCCATCACGTCCACGCAGGCCCAGACAGTGAACATGGGAGGTCAGCCCAGGGTTGTGAACACCTCGCCTGGAGGGATCTTCGTCACACATCTCGCACCAGGAATCTCACTCAGACCAGGTGAGTGTTGGGAGCATTACATCTGTAGCTCCATTTATTCCAAAATAGGATTTTTGTTTGTTTGTTTGTTGTGTAACGTTGCACTCGGCAATATTCCATCTGTATGTCGTGGTCTGTGAATAATTGAGTCTGGAACAGCCAATCCAGTGATTAACAGCATGAGCATCGATCTATGCAATTGGGATACAATGACATGTGTCAGCGAAGTCAGTGAGTCTGACCACTCGATCCTGTTAGTCTCCTCTTACGACAAGCATGGGTTACTGAAGACCAATTCTAACCCGGATCTTCACGGGTTGAGGATGATTAGTGTGTGGCTTGGCATCATCATAAGTTGTAGAATGTATCTCAAGCTTTCAATCACTGGTTTGTCTGGCCCAGACTTGAATATAATGGCTGTCACAATATAGGCAAATGGTACTGTGGTGTTACACACTCACTGCCTTATTGTTTTCAGGTTTACCAGGGGTGGGCCAGGCCAAGATGGTGTCGGCCAGCCAGGCTGGTCTAGCACAGCTCATCATGCAGCAGACACCTCAGGGACTGAAGGCTGCGGGCGGTGAAACGGTCGGGGTCGTGCCCAATGTCTCACAGGGTAAACATGCTTCCACTGTTCACATCTGCTTCATTCTGGGGGAGTTGGATGTTGGATATTACACATCCCTTACTTGTGTCATGATCACTGCAAGATTACCAGATTCTCCCTCATTGTTATGCCTTCTTCAACATACCTGGGCTTGTGGGTTTAGGTGCATAACTGTGCTTGTGGGTTTAGGTGCATACCTAGGCTTGTGGGTTTAGGTGCATAACTGTGCTTGTGGGTTTAGGTGCATAACTGTGCTTGTGGGTTTAGGTGCATACCTAGGCTTGTGGGTTTAGTTGTATACCTGTGCTTGTGGGTTTAGGTGCATACCTAGGCTTGTGGGTTTAGGTGAATACCCGTGCTTGTGGGTTTAGTTGTATACCTGTGCTTGTGGGTTTAGGTGCATACCTGTGCTTGTGGGTTTAGGTGCATACCTAGGCTTGTGGGTTTAGGTGCACACCTGTACTTGTGGGTTTAGCTGCATACCTGTGCTTGCTGATGTAGCAGCTTAGGTGTCTTATCAAATAGGTGATCCAGTTAGAACATGGCCGACTATGCACCATTATAATGCCACATCACCGTGATATATCTACCATATTTCCCACCCTAGGGGATCAGATGAGGTAACTGTTTTCCCCTCCCCCATTACATCTGGTGTTTAACAGGGCACACTGTTACATCGCGACTCCGAGAATCCTGATCCATAGCCTTGCTGAACAGGATACCTGACTCGTCTTTGGTCACTAGTTTCTGTTGTGATGCCCAGAAACATTGTAGTTATGTAATAAGTTCTCTGTTAATATTTTTTAGTTTTACCATATTCATAATTTTATAGCGTGTGTTTGCAGATGATGCCGTTTTCTAGATCATTTTAAGCCAAAATGTTTCAATGACCACATAGCACTAACCACACCTCTACCCTTACTCTCTCCTTTATTGTAACAGGAACACCTATCATCGTCAGCAATGCAGGGAAAGGTGGTCAGAACATCCAGGTGGTGCGGACCGTGTTGTCCCAGCAGGCTGGTCTGAAGCCAGGGCAAGCCACCATCCTCATCTCGCAGCCCACCCTCCAGCAGAACCCAGCCACCATGATGTCCACATCCCAGGTCATCCAGACCACCAAGTCCGTCCGGGGCTCGCCCAAAGGCAAACCACAGCCGGTGTACGCACGTATCATTACGCCCCCACCGGGGATGAAGCTGACGAATGTGCCCCAAGGCACGTCTGTTGGTGCCTCTGGTGTTAGTGTTATACAGACTGTAGGGAAACTAGTGAACAATGTAACAACAGCAACTGTGCATCATCCTACGGTGACAACGGTGACGGTGGCCACGCCACCATCAACACCGTTGGCAGCTGTAGAGATCGGAGACGGAACAGGAAAGACAGATTCTGGAGAAAGTAAATCTTAGGGTATGATTAAGACCGTCTGCTCAGACATTATAATCTTCTTCATCTGGGATGTTATGGAGTCTGTACAGAGACTACTAGCCGAAGTTGTTTAACAACATCAATGATATTGTGTGTGTCTGGTGTGCTTGCTCAACAGAACATGTCCAGATGTGGAACAAGGGGACAGGATGTCTGAAAGAACAATGAAATTATTAATGTTGTTGGGAAGTTCAATATCCAATATTACTGTGCTAAAGACAACAGAAAGTGTAATACATATTAGGTGGCTGGTAATTCAAGGAGCTGCAGGTTCAATGAGTGTACAGCTTTATTGGACATGAGGACAATTCCATACCTACATTTTGAACAGGAGTGAAACATGGAAAGCTAGTAATGACCTCCATGGAAAGCTTGGAATGACCTCCATGGAAAGCTTGGAAAAACCTCCATGGAAAGCTAGGAATGACCTCCATGGAAGCTAGTAATGACCTCCATGGAAAGCTAGTAATGACCTCCGCGGACAGCTAGTAATGACCTCCATGGAAAGCTTGGAACCACCTCCATGGAAAGCTTGGAACGACCTCCATGGAAAACTAGTAATGACCTCAATGGAAAGCTTGGAACAACCTCCATGGAAAGCTAGTAATGACCTCAATGGAAAGCTTGGAATGACCTCCATGGAAAGCTTGGAATGACCTCCATGGAGAGCTTGGAACGACCTCCATGGAAAGCTAGTAATGACCTCAATGGAAAGCTTGGAACGACCTCCATGGAAAGCTTGGAACGACCTCCATGGAAAGCTAGTAATGACCACTATGGAAAGCTTGGAACGACCTCCATGGAAAGCTAGTAACGACCTCAATGGAAAGCTTGGAACGACCTCAATGGAAAGCTTGGAACGACCTCCATGGAAAGCTAGTAATTACCTCAATGGTAAGCTTGGAATGACCTCAATGGAAAGCTTGGAACGACCTCCATGGAAGGCTTGGAATGACCTCAATGGAAAGTTCGGAACAGCCTCCATGGAAAGCTAGTAATGACCTCCATGGAAAGCTTGGAATGACCTCCATGGAAAGCTTGGAACGACCTCCATGGAAAGCTTGGAATGACCTCCATGGAAAGCTAGGAATGACCTCAATGGAAAGCTTGGAATGACCTCCATGGAAAGCTTGGAATGACCTGCATTCAGTCACCTGAGATCAAGCAGTGTGAGCCCGACTTGCCCGAGGTGTGTCACAATTGTGTTCAAGATGACACTGTCTCATGCCATTTCACTTGCATCACCCAACTAGAATCATGATGTACCCTAACAAACAACTAGACTCACAGGATAAAAGGCCTTGTGTTTGTCTGAAGGATTTATCAATTAGGACTTTCTCTACCAAGTTGTTTGAAGTAGTGCAATTACTGTGCAGAGTTGTGTCCCTTAGGCTTGCCAGAATCCTCTGACCACGGGTTCAGATTCCATTATGTTTCCAGGTTTGTCAGCACCATATCCCTGCTCGGGGTTTCACCAAAGTGGTAGACATCTTTAGACTTACATTGTGTTTCATCCATCATTTAGCTGTATGTCACTCATTGCTCAGTATAGTCAGCAGAAATTATCCCAGGACGGTGATGTTTTGACTTAAGCAACTGTTATGAAGCATCAGGTTTGTTTGGAATGGTATAAAGCTCAGGTAATTGTAATTCTTACGTTAAAATTTAAATCCACTCAAAACATTAACTGAAAGACAAGTAAAGACTGACAGACTGTGATGTTTTTACCGATAATGGCTGGGGTTGCACTATAACATAAACATCAAGATGTAAATTATATGCGAATGGTAAACATGTCATCAAAGGTCAAATGAAAAGTCTGGCAACTAGTGGTCAAGGTCACTTACTTACTGTGTACCCATGTTAGTAATCACAATCACCATACATAGACGTACGATTATTGTAACTCTACGATTGTTTTGGGGAACGGGATCCAGGGCTGCATTCCACTACGTAATCACAACTATCGTACATACCACTTACGACTGTTGTAACTCTACGATTGCTTTATGGAACGGGTCCGAGGGCTGCTTTCCACTACGTAATCACAACTATCGTACATACCACTTACGACTGTCGTAACTCTACGATTGCTTTGTGGAACGGGTCCGAAGGCTGCATTCCACTGCGTAATCACAACTATCGTACGTAGACTTACGACTGTCGTAACTCTACGATTGCTTTGTGGAAAGGGTCCGAGGGCTGCATTCCCAAGTCATCACATTACATAGACTTCCAAACAGGGCAGTTTTAATTGTTTGAACAAAGAGGGTTAACAGGGAGGTTCTAAACCTGCCCATTCCATGTCTGTTGTTGTGAATGGTACTCATTGTATGATTGTTGAAGTTCTCGTTTACTTTAAATTCCTATTTTGTTGTGGATTTTGTTGTCGTTTCAGTGAGTACATGCTATGATGTGTAGGCTTCCTCACCTGTTGTTTGTTCTGGCTTCGAGTGATTGCATATGCAGCATCCAGATTCTCAAAGTTAGCATCCCAGGATCAGGGCTCCAGACAGCTGGCACACAAATACAAATGAAGATTGTGAAAACCACCACCACTCTGTGTAACTCACAAATATTCACTCACATGGGGTTTGATAGGTTTCTTGGGTGTTCAGTATAATTTGACTGGCCGACAAGGCTGTTGGTATCTCTTTATCATGGGGTTGATATTTTTGTAACAAAATATTCCCCCAGAATAGTGACCTTGATATGTTTTCACATACTGCATGAAATATATCATGTTGTGTTAACAGTGACAAACTGTGAAGATCCGGGTTAGAATTGGTCTTCAGTAACCCATGCTTGTTGTAAGAGGCAAGTAACGAGATCGGGTGGTCAGGCTCGTTGACTTGGTTGACACATCACCGTACCCCAGTTGTGTAGATTGATGCTCATGATGTTGATCACTGGATCATCTGGTCCAGACTCGAGTATTTACAGACTACCGCCATTTTGCTGGAATATTGTCGAATGATGGTTCTAGTCTCACCTAAACAGCAACAAACCAACTTTGACAGATGTCGGACATTTTCTATGCATTAATCACTACAGCTGAGTTCCTGCACATGTGATTCCTGCACGCTGACTATAATCAATGGCAAGATTGACAGTTGTGGAAGATAAAACAGAGATATTGGATGATTACGCAGAGAGTTTATCTTTATCAGGGTCTTCATTTGTATTTGTGCTGAAGTCAAATTGAATTAATTGGGTAGTGGTGATTTCCTTTAGCATGTCTTAAGCAAATATGCAGCTTGTCTGGAGCTCAGAAAAACAGTTTTGTATCGGTTTAAGAAACTCACATTTGCCAGAATGTAACAAAGCTAAGGCAGAAGTGTCTGCATGGTACTGATGAGCCCAGAAGCCTTGAAGCAGTTCTTCCTGAACTTCAGTCACTGGTCAGATTTATTAGAACTCCACACAGATGAGCTGTGAGAATATGAATGATAGGTTCTAGTTTAGAGAATAGGCGAGACTAGAACCATCATTTGTAACTTTGTGATGTAGAGTACAAGCAAACTAATACTTAAATATTTCCTCTAATTGTTTAGCAAAGATTGCACTTGGCTCACTTGCACAAGGCGATCCTATGGCTACGACAATTGTAAGACTATGTTAAAGTATAGGAGTTCCAATTGTCGTAACGCTAAGATGTCTTTCTGCAAGTGGGCCCAGGGCGTCGTTCCACAAAGCAATCGTAGCGCTAAGATGTCTTTCTGAAAGTGGGCCCAGGGCGTCGTTCCACAAAGCAATCATAACCCTAAGACGATCGTAACTCCCATACTTTAACATAGACTTAGGACTGTCATTGCACTACAATCGCTTCGTGGAACGAGGCCCAGATCAGTTTGTGAAGCACAGCCAGAATAACTTGAACTACACCTAAAACTCAGTGTTCTGTGGTTATAGTTAAAGCTTCATTCGTAAATGGTGAACTAATTTAGCTCAAAGAAACAGTTTCACTCCCATGGAACCCAGCAAATATGTGTGCGTGTTTTGATGTTCTTGTCCCAGAATGCAACACATGTGAATCAAGTAGTTGACATGCAGTACATTGTATTTTACTTGTGATGGTTATTCAGGAATCTATTAGTGTGTGAAGTGTCAGTGTGTGTGTATGTGTGTACCCATGTGTGTGTGTCTGCACGGACATCTGTATGCGTTCTTACAAGCCTGCTGGCTCAGGTGTTGATTGTATCTGTGTTTAACCATCATCAATTGGAGAACCATCAGAGATTACATAGCAAGCATCTTTCCAAGCACAGAAGTTTGTACAGATTATTTGTTCAAGTAAATGCAGTGACAGAAAATACTTTCTCTAACATAAGTCCAGAATATTTACTGGCTGGTCCCCAAGTTGTAAGGCATTTTATAATTTAGATCCCTGTAGCCTATACAGTAAAACTGTTAATGTCGGGAAAAGAAAATCATAATCATCACCATCATCATCATCATCATCATTTTCGTCATCAACCAGTCATTTAACATGTTTATGGGCCATGTTTTTTACACTTTCTGTTTCAGTGAAACAGTCAACGGCTCTTGTTGTCATACCAACTTCTATGAAGGATGACTTGATTTCAGACATCACTTTGTTCAACTTAATCATTTGTGTTACATTTTGTATGCTATTATGTATTATTTATGTTGATGAAGCCACTTTGGCTTTCTGTGCTATAATCTCTTTGTGTCTAATCCAGGGATTCAGATGTTGTTGTTGTTAGAGAACTTTCACAGATGAATGTGTGAGTGAGTGAGTTTCCACTCCTGTATAGTGAATGATGATAGCTCAGTTGTATATGCAGTCTCTGAAGAAATTGTGTATTGTGATATATTGTAAATATGTACATTTTCCAAAACTCACTTTTGGTCTCTGCTGATGAGAAATACTGACAATTGAAATATAATTTATTAGATATGGTGGTTTGTGTATTGTCTTTTGTTCTTCTTTGTCAACACATTGAACAGGAAATGTGAGACAGTAGACTGTAGACAGGAAATGTGAGTCACTAGACTGTTCACAGGAAATTGGAGACACTAGACTGTACACAGGAAATTGGAGACACTAGACTGTACACAGGAAATGTGAGACACTGGACTGTAGACAGGAAATTGGAGACACTAGACTGTACACAGGAAATGTGAGACACTAGACTGTACACAGGAAATTGGAGACACTAGACTGTACACAGGAAATTGGCGACACTGGACTGTACACAGGAAATTGGAGACACTAGACTGTACACAGGAAATTGGAGACACTAGACTGTACACAGGAAATTGGAGACACTGTACTGTACACAGGAAATTGGAGACACCAGACTGTACACAGGAAATTGGAGATATTATCGTGATAAAATGGTGTCACTGGATTAATGACACCAGACCAAATGGTGTCACTGGATTAATGACACCAGACCAAATGGTGTCAGTGCTATTAATGACACCAGACCAAATGGTGTCACTGCTATTAATGACACCAGACCAAAAAGTGTCACTGGATTGATGACACCGGACCAAAAAGTGTCACTGGATTAATGACACCAGACCAAATGTGAGGTGAAATTGGGTTTAACGTCGTGCTTGAGAATATTTCGCTCATATGACAACGTGCGTGCGTGTGTATGTGTATGTGCTGCTGCTTGTACTAGCCCAGATTGAAGCTTGTTTTATAGTGCTAGCCCACTGAGATACCATGCCGCAGTGAAGCATGAATGCCGCAGTGAAGCATGAATACCCCACTCAGACACATTATACTGACTCCGAGCCGACTAGTCCTTGTTGTACTCATTAATGCCGAGTGCCAAGCAGGGACCAATTTTAACACCTTTTGGTTTGACGCGGTCAGGGATCGAAACCGCGACTTTCCACTCTCCATCACTTGATTGACGACACCAGATAAAATGGTGTCACTGGATTGATGACAGAAACCAAATGGTGTCACTGGATTGATGACACCAGGCCAAATGGTGTCACTGGATTGATGACACCAGACCAAATGGTGTCACTGGATTGGGGACACCTGACCAAATGGTGTCACTGGATTGATGACACCAGACCAAATGGTGTCACTGGAATCATGACACCAGACCAAAAAGTGTCACTGGATTGGGGACACCAGGCCAAAAAGTGTCACTGGATTGATGACACCAGACAAAATGGAGTAACTGAATTGGGAATACCAGACCAAATGGCGTCACTGGAATAATGACACCAGATGAAATGGTGTCACTAGATTGATGACACAAGACCAAATGGTGTCACTGGATTGGGGACACCAGGCCAAATGGTGTCACTGGATTGATGACACCAGACCAAATGGTGTCACTGGATTGATGACACCAGACCAAATGGTGTCACTGGATTTGGGACACCAGGCCGAATGGTGTCACTGGATTGATGACACCAGACCAAATGATGTCACTGGATTGATGACACCAGACCAAATGGTGTCACTGGATTGGGGACACCAGGCCAAATGGTATCACTGGACTATCACCCACAGATTGGTGATCTGACAACCTTATCCCATGACTTTCATCAATTTCATCAATAACAACAAATACCACATCATTTTTGTAAAGGATTTATGTATAAAAGGTCAACAAACAAAGCTGAGCAAGGTTTCATCACTGGACTCAATTCCATGTACAGTATTGCTTTGTGCTATGTACATCATGTCAAGATGGGATAATTAACCACATATGATATGAGGTTTTCTGAGGGATTTAATCTCCAATTATTTCCAATTAACCAATATACAAATGTAAAAAAATGTTTCTCAATATGTATTGTAGAAATGATTATCAACATGATTAATATAGAAAATAAGTTGGTTTCTCAATGCAAAAGTGATGAGAAAACATATCAAAGGTGATTAATACATTATGCACGATAGAAATATTTACAGACTAAGCACATGGACAATGTGATCTTACTACAATTGTTCTCTTTACACACAAGTATGTCAAGAATCAACAGCTAAAGGTAGAAGTGCGTTCAGTTCTAAAGGTTCATTACCTAGGTGAGACTTTTAAAAATAATTATCTGAGGAAAGCACTAAAATATGTATAATTTTGCCTCAAGTCTGAAACAAACATTTTAGACCTCTCTAGCTTTGGGTCTTAATTTAAAACAATTTTCAAATTTAGTTCAAAATTTAAACAGCTGGTCTCTGAAATTCATTTAATTGGTTGCTTGTGAAAGGGAAGAAATCTATCATGTAGAGATTGTACGTCCACTATTAATAGTGAGTTTAGATTACGCCACACTCAGCAATATTGACAATACAGTGATCAACACCATGAACATCAATCTCCGGGATATGATGGCATGTGTCAACGAAGTCAGTGAGCCTGACCACCTGATCCCTTTAGTCGCCTCTTACGACAAGCATGGGTTACTGAAGATCAATTCTAACCCGGATCTTCGCGGACTCCACTATTAATAGACTGAAGACAGGAAATTGTATGATCTCTAATAACACTCAATTTCAACTGAATATGAAGACAAGCTTCCAATGATTTTGGGGTTATTGTCCAGTATTATTTCTTGTGCAAAGAAAATTAATTCATAATGACAAAAATATTGCCATGATGCCAGTGACAGTCAACCATGATGCAATGAGGCTGTTGCTGTGGTTACAGTAGTTGGAGTTGCATGCACATCGAGTTGTTTTAATGCCGTTGTACATCACATCATTTTCACAAACTTCCTTCATCTGTGCCCCACACAGTCGGTACACCTCCACGTTCCGAACCGACCCGGCTGAAGACAGAATATGTGAGAGAATGAGCATGTTCGATTATGTCATGCTGTTTAAACTTGTGGAAAAGTAGCCTATGAAGAGTCCTTTCTCTTATAATGTTTATGATCAGACCCCCCAGGGGTTGGACAAACCCAAGCTGCAAATTTTGCAAATTATAAGAAGTCAAGTCCATAATGAAGACAATAAAGAATTAAATTATTCTGAACAATCCATTGTTCCACTTACACCAGCGTTCTCCTCGAATCTTGAGACAGGATCCACTGCAAGAAGAGGTAGGCACCAGGGGCTGGAAGTCATCCCCACACCCTTTGTCAGGGTACAGGCAGTTGTAGCAGATGAAGGATGACTTCACTGAAAGAAGGAAGGGTGAGGTGAAGGGAGTTCAACAGTGTGTGTTTGGGGGTGTAGTAACATTACAAGTCTGTGAATGTTACCTAAGCCTTGTATCTTGATACAATATTGTATTGATTTTATAGGGGCTACTGAAATACCATATCATGCATGATTTATTTTACACGGAGACCCATTCAGACATAGCACACTGTCGAACTCAGAGGAGTGGCTCAGAGCTGTTTGTCTGTTGTTTAACGCCACACTCAGCAATATTCCAGCTATATGGTGGCTAAGAACTGGCCAGTCCTTGTTTTATATTTAATCATACACAGCTGGTGCCGGTAAATTGACATAACTGCTAAACATTTAGTCAATCAAACTTTCTAGAACTGTCAAATGGTCCCATACTATATATATCGTACACTCTCTTATGGTTAACTTTTACCTTTGACTCAACGCCATATCAGGTTACAAAATGTTAACAATATATTTATTTATCACCAACTCACCTGATGAAATTAGACAAAGACTGATGATGATGAAGCCGACATAATATTCCGTCTTCGCCATTATATAACATTACATGAAGCTATTTACAACCTGTCACCTGACGAGTAATATATCTTCCATCGCTTTGTGACAGCTAGTTTCACACCTGGCCGGTAGATGTCGCTCGCGTTACTTCCGCCCTCGTTTATACGGTCTCTATTGGAAGACTGTATGATAAAACGATGGCGTTAAGATTCATGCTCAAAATCGCGAGATACAGCAATATGCCTACATACAATTTCCAGGCGCGTTGCAAGCCCATTTTTTCGTGTAAGCCCGATAGGTTGCAAAACTTTGTATTTAGATAGTTTGGAGGGCTTCCCCAACCTTTTTAGCAAAAATCATGTGTAAGCCCGGGCCTATTCCTATATAATGGTAGCTACGCCCCTGATTTCGTTAAACTGGATTCGACATATTTGTCAGAATGTAGGTATTTCTTTTGGGGTTCATATCCAATTTTATACATGATCAACATATACATTTTGTAGAAGACATGAAAGTTTTATGCATAACAGTTTTAAACAAATTGATGTTTCAGAGCTTAATTATTTTTTCCAACGAACTCTATCCTTTAGACATGTTTCATGCTAAATGGCAGCAAGGATCGAGCAGAATAAAACAGCTAAGTGTATTGCTATAACACAGGTCTGAGAGGTTTCAAGCTTATCATTATTTGACAAAGCTGCTATTTGCATAGTTAAGACGCATGGAAATTCTAAATAGCTGATGACATCACACACAGCCGCAAAATCTGTTCAAAATCAAATTCTACATTGTATGTATCAACGATAAAAAGAGCACAAACGATATATAATTAATATTATATATATGCTGAAATCCCTTGTTTACAGACACACATAATATGTACATATATATACATTGTATATGGTATTATCACATTGATTATATAAACATATATATGGTGTTATTAATAAGTTATATACGTGTATATATATGATGTTATTAATAAATGATACACATATATATGGTGTTATTAATAAGTTATATACGTATATATATATGGTGTTATTAATAAATGATATACATATATATGGTGTTATTAATAAGTTATATACGTGTATATATATGGTGTTATTAATAAATGATATACATATATATGGTGTTATCAATAAATGATATACATATATATGGCGTTATTAATAAGTTATATACGTATATATATGATGTTATTAACAAACGATATACATATATATGATGTTATTAAAAAGTTATATACGTATATATATGATGTTATTAATAAATGATATACATATATATGGTGTTATTGATAAGTTATATACGTATATATATGATGTAATTAATAAATGATATACATATATATGACGTTATTAATAAGTTATTTACGTATATATATGATGTTATTAATAAATGATATACATATATATGGCGTTATTAATAAGTTATATACGTGTATATATATGATGTTATTAATAAATGATGTGCATATATATGGCGTTATTAATAAGTTATATACGTATATATATATGATGTAATTAATAAATGATATACATATATATGACGTTATTAATAAGTTATTTACGTATATATATGATGTTATTAATAAATGATATACATATATATGGCGTTATTAATAAGTTATATACGTGTATATATATGATGTTATTAATAAATGATATACATATATATGGCGTTATTATTTATTTGATCGTTTAGTTATTGATGTTTTATTTGATAAATTATACTTCATTTTTGATTGGTTTTAACGAACACGTCACTTGGAGGTTGCCGCAACCAAAGAACCGCACCCTTTGCATGGATTCAGTAGGTAGGTGTGGGAAAGTCTGGTTCAGCAAGTATGACATAAATCGGTTAACATGTGCTAACTCTATCCAACAAAGGTTAACTTGTTTAAATCTTGGTCAGCACCGGTGCACCCGGAACAATCGGGCTTGTGAAAGGGGAATAGTATTTTGATTGTGTATGACGTCATAATGCATGATAGCGACGTCGTCATTGTTCAGACAAGACAAGTCAGAGCGGCGCGTGTTTTGAAAAAGTTCTCATCGTTTAAAACCGTCACGCACACTGTTGCAGTAAAGGTAGGTTTTCATGCTCGCAACTAGGCAATGCATCTCTAATACAGAATTGTTTTAACTGAGTGTCGAGTTTTATACTTGAAACGCCTGCGTGAAGAAACGAAAAACGTGGCGCTTGTTGGACCGTTCACGGGCAGCACGGGCCACATGTGACACGTGACAGCTTAGATGAACTACTAACCAGAAAACAGGAAGGGTTTTTATAGACATTATCATTATACTTAACACCGAATTGTTAAGTAACCATTACATTTTCTGATTTGATACTCGAGCAGGCGGCACAGATATACTATTTTTAGTTCTATTTTTGTTTCTTTAAATATAAAATGTCTTGTGTCGTAGTTCTGAATTTTTATCTATAGAAATAGAAAGCAAACCATTGTTTTGTTGACAGCATATTTTACCATGCATCGCAATAATTGCATCAGTTGAAATCGACTTTGGGCAACTTTTTCTAGGTGAATATGTCTCTGGTATTAATCGACCTTGAGATGGAGAGCTACCTCGCTGATACTGAAAGCACCAGAAAAAAACCACAAGAGTCACCTTCAGGGTTCAAGGCCACCTTTGAACATGTCAGCCTCGGGGGTCAATGTCACTTGGATCTTAATACAGTCAAGGCTGAGAATACTGATCAAAACGGGAACCAAGTAAATGGTAATTGGTATTAATTGTTTCCTTATCAATCAATCTTTATTTCTTTGTAGTGGAGGCCATAGGCCCAGGCTACATTTCAGGATTTCAGAGCGGTACATATGTGCATATATAGTTCTGAAGACAATAAGTTAATTTACAAAATTTACAAAAGGAAATATGATATTATTGGCATAGAAGTGAATCTCTAAGTTTCATTGCATTGTGTATAAAAATAGCTAGGTTTTTTACAATATCTGGATTACCAGTTGACATGAGCATATTAAACCTATGAATAGTGGGATTTGAATAGAATTTATGTGGTAAATACAAACATCTCAGATTTTGATAACATATATATACCAAAATAAAAAGAAATTCATTTTCAATAAAGTTATCTTTACATACAAAACATAATCTATTTGATCTGGGTTGATTAATATATCGACCGGTTTCAATTTGGAGGCGGTGTGAAGAACATCTGAATTTAGCAAGGGCCGATCGGAATTTTGAAATTGATAAATCTTTTATGTAACATTCAACATTTAATGAGATTTGAAAACAAGAATAAAGTGAAAATTTAGGACTATTTACAAGCGATGTGTGCCATTCTTGTTCATAACTGGCTCTTAGTCTAAAAACAAATTCTGATATAAATTTATCGACATTACATGTATTTTGCTGCTGTTCTCAAATAAAGCAAACATAACTGTTTCCAAACAGAGTATCTCAGATATCAGCCTTTGTAATCCCAAGAATTCTAGGAGACACACAGACAATCACACAGACCCTTGAAGAATCGACTGGAATCATTCTCCAGCTAACTATGCTAGCCGTAAGTGACGAATGACGGACACGGGTGGTCAAACTATCGTACTTGATTGATGCAAGTCATCGTATCCCATTTGCGAAGATCAGGGAGACTATATAAGGTTGTAGCGTTGTAGAGCATCCCTGCGAAGATCGACGATGCCCAATGAGAATGTTACCAAGTGCAAACCCGATTATTTATAGTTGGAATATTGCTGAATGCGGCGTTAAACTACAAGCAAACATACAGTATTATCAGATCTATTTCAAATCAAATATTTTTTTATTGTTTTATGTCAAAGAAACACACGAACGATATTTGATAAAACTTAATCTCCTAGTAGGTTGTGACAACGCTGAGGAGAAGACAAAATGTAAGAAGGCAAAAGATGCACAGAAGACAAAGGATGCACGGAAGACAAAGGATGCACAGAAGACAATGGATGCAAAGAAGACAATGGGTGCAAAGAAGGCAAATGATGCCCAAAAGACAAAGGATGCAAAGAAGACAATGGGTGCAAAGAAGGCAATGGGTGGAAAGAAAACAAAGGGTGCAAACAAGGAAAAAGATGCAAAGAAGAAGAATGAACGAGACACGGAGAAAGTGGTAAAGGAGGCCAAGTGGGGAACTCTCCGCCGTGTCGTACAAGTAAGGCCACATCAAGCTAAGTATCTCTTTGTCGTAATCACCGCTTCCTCTTTGAGTAAATACAATTTAGTGGGATGGCGATTGTACCAACAGAAATTATTGCTCTACATATTGTTCCTTGTTACATCAACAAACTCCCACGGCTCCCATACGTCGGCATGTAGGCAAAACATAGTTAAACAATACGTACATAAGGTGAATATATGACCTATGAAGCAATGTGTGTAATATACATACTAAATCTTTTCACTTTCACAAACCCTTTGAGCTTTTAAGCTCTGTTGGCCTTGGGAACCGTGAAGATCCGGGGTAGAATAGGTCTTAAACAACCCATGCTTGCCACAAAAGGCGACTATGCTTGTCGTAAGAGGCGACTAACGGGATCGGGGTGGTCAGGCTCGCTGACTTGGTTGACACATGTCATCGGTTCCCAATTGTGTAGATCGATGCTCATGCTGTTGATCACTGGATTGTCTGGTCCAGACTCGATTATTTACAGACCGCTGCCATATAGCTGGAATATTGCTGAATGCGGCGTAAAACTCAACTCACTCACTCACTGTTGGCCTTGGCGTCTGTGAAGAGATATTGGCGTTTATCACCACCCGGATGTTAGAGGCACAACGTCAAGTGATATTGAAATACAACGTATTCCATAGCACAGGGTGCATTTTCTACCATTCGCCATCACTACATCCCTGTATCGGCAATTCCAGTTTCACACAGATGATAACAAACGTGTATGTCAGCTGTTGTAAGTTTTCCTAGGAATCACTTCCTAACATGACATTGTGTCATTTCTGTGCAGGCGTTAACACTGCGGGTACCTGTCACGTCCACATCTCCACTCAACAGTGACGACCTCGGTTGCGACGACATCAGTTTTGATGGTAAGCTTTCGGGGTATTGGATCGGTAGAAGTATTCTAGAAACGTGTACAGAAAGCAATTTTTATGAGTAATTTTATTGACAAACATATGAAGGCCCTGCGAGGAACACCCAGAGTCTTGAGTCAGTAGTTAGTATGTCTTTATGGCGTCCGGTTACAAGATGAGTATATTTTGTGAACTGCTGTAACTCCACCTGTTCACTTACTTCCCTCGTCATACCACCTTGATCTACTGTTCAGACCACACGTGCGGTTCTATTTCTTCATGGTGTCTGGTTCCAAAATGAGCATATATTTTAACGTCCCCACATCCACCTGTCTAGTAGGACCCCTCAATATACCACCCCTTCTGTTCAGGTCACCTGTTCGCCTACTCCCCTCAATATACCACCCCTTCTGTTCAGGTCATCTGTTCGCCTACTCCCCTCAGTATACCACCCCTTCTGTTCAGGTCACCTGTTCGCCTACTCCCCTCAATATACCACCCCTTCTGTTCAGGTCACCTGTTCGCCTACTCCCCTCAGTATACCACCCCTTCTGTTCAGGTCACCTGTTCGCCTACTCCCCTCAGTATACCACCACTTCTGTTCAGGTCACCTGTTCGCCTACTCCCCTCAGTATACAACCTCTTGTGTTGCGGTATTCTGTTCGCCTACTCCCCTCAATATACCACCCCTTCTGTTCAGGTCACCTGTTCGCCTACTCCCCTCAGTATACCACCCCTTCTGTTCAGGTCACCTGTTCGCCTACTCCCCTCAATAAACCACATCTTCTGTTCAGGTCACCTGTTCGAGTACGCCTCTCATCCCCCTGTCATCCCAAAGGTTGACGTTCCCCGCCTCCGTCTTCGGCCGACGCTGAGAGAGAGACTTTACAACATCGCCCACAACTTCTTCCGATGTGGATCAATGAAACCAAACAACCAATACACCTTAGATTAGAACCGGTCATTTCTTCTCGTCGTTGCCCCCAGTACCACGTGCTTGTCGTAAGAGGCGACTAAATGAGGATCAAGTGGCCACACTGTGTGACCTGGTTGATTGTATGTCACCGTACCCCAGTAGCGTGGATAGGTGGTCATGCCATCAACCACTGGTTTGCCTGTCCCAGACTTAATATCTGCAGACCAGTTCACCCAGGAATGTGATAATGCGTTCTCTAATATTGATAGATATTGATATAAATTTTCATCATTGGTGCTTGTCAGGGACATGGGGATAATGTATTATCTCTTTGGTGATAAATATGCTTTTATGAAGGTTGATATGTATAAAATTTGTGTTTTATTCTGGGTTTTTTATATCGTAAAGCATTTCCAATCAATATATCCATGAATTCATCAGTGCTGTTATCGTTAAAATATGCATATACATTAAAAACATGTATATCAGAAAACAGAAGAAAAATATGTTTATTGGTGTATTTTGTTTATTATCACCAATAAATTTTTTTAAAGCCTAACGTACTTTATTTTGTATTATGAAGGCTATATCTACCCGTGAACGTCAGGGTTAGAATATTGATCTTCAGTAACCTATGCTTGTCGTAAGAGGCGACTAACGGGATCGGGTGGTCAGACTCGCTGACTTGGTTGACACATGTCATCGGTTCCCAATTGCGCAGATCGATACTCATGCTGTTGATCACTGGGTTGTCTGGTCCAGACTCGTTTATTTACAGACCGCCGCCATATGGCTGGTATATTGCTGAGTGCGGCCTAAAACTCAACTCACTCACTCACTATATATCTCCCTCACAGCGTGACCATCAAGGGAATGAACCGTACTTCTCTTAGCATTCCATTACTTTGTGTAGTCTACATCGTATCTTCACGCCTATTCAATTATCCGGGGCGTCGAGGGTAGCCTAACGGTTAAAGAGTCTGCTCGTCACGCCGACCCGGGTTCGATTCTCCACATGAGTACAATATCTGAAGCCCATTTCTGGTGATATTGCTGGAATATTGCTAAAAGCGGCTTAAAAGCATACTCACTCACTATTCAATTATCCCCACAAGGGTACAATGTGAGAAACCCATTGCTGGTGTTCCCCGCCGTGATATTGCGAGAATGTTAATAAAAGCGGCGTAATATTAAACTCACTAGTTTGTCTGGACGCATCATACCAACTTCTCTGAGTGCGGCGTTGCTACAAAACCCTGTCCCATTCAAAGGAATTGTGAAATGTTATAACATTGCAAAAATGAAACATTATGTTACAAGGGAATACATACTAAGATTTGGATAGGAACCCTCCAAATGGAATGCTTGTAAACACCACAATCATTCTTATTTCGTTTCCTTCTGAAACCTTCACCAAAACCGTAACATACCATTCAAGGGCAGATAACTCTAATATCCCCTAACAGCTGATAGGGATATCGATTGAGTCACTGACAACTCGACTGTTTTCAACCCGGACAGGTAAGAAGACGACATAGTCACGAGCAATATTTTAGTCACAGAACAAGGAGCTAATTAATCGTATTTTGTGAGAAATCAAATTTAGCACTAACAACACGACGACTGAGACCTTCCGAGTTGCATAACTACCCTTACATACCATACAACTGTCGCAATATTGTCGTCTGCTACTGATTTCTCCAAAGATTTTATCAATGAAAAATATGGTTGAGTACAACCCTCACTTTTAGTCGCCTGTCATGGCATTCAGAATTATCCCAATAATTAATTCAAACTCCAAACATTGTTAATCATCCCCGCACTAACGTTGGGGTGTGAAAAGATATCTTTACAGTAGATTATTTCAGGAACATGATCTTGATTCATACTAAACGTGCCTTGTACATTCCAATGTCACCGCCTTTGTCCTTTGTCAGAATTCACTGTTGAGAAGATGGCGCTGTGTAAGACAGCTGGCAAGCATGTCCTAAGATGTATGAGATGCCGGCTGCCCTTGTTGACGTCGATCAGTCGAGGAATGACCAGTCTAGAATACGAGAAGGATCAACACAATGGTGTGACGGTCAACCTCGCCCAGCTTCCATCCAGCACAACAGAGCAACAATTCCACACACAACTTAAAGGTATGCAACAGCAAGAGTTCCACACTTAAAGGTTCATAACATGTCAGTTTTATATGCATAAATATGAACAGGAATATTCCATGTTACATCAGAGACCATATAATAGTCTATTATATGGTCTCTGGTTACATCAAAGCTGCCTGTTGTTCAAGTCTTGGCTGGGAAATATAGCAGGTGGTGACATAGGCTAGGATGACACAATGACTAGGTCTCAGTTTATGCATTGTTACATAGACCAGAGACCATATCCCGATATATATATGCTGAGGCCTGTCCCTCGGTATATGGTCTCTGCATAGACACAGTAGCTTGCCTACCGTCATTGCTTGGATGTTATTGGTATATTATTACACAGAGTGCCTTCAGTCCTGGGACATTATTGTTATATTGCTACACAGAGTGCCAACAGTCCTGGGACATCACTGTTACTTTGTTACACAGAGTGCCTACAGTCCTGGGGAGTTATTGCTATATTATTACACAGAGTGCCAACAGTCCAGGGACATTACTGGTACTTTATTACACACAGAGTGCCTACAGTCCTCGGGAGTTATTTCTATATTATTAGTGAGAGTTCCTTCAGTCCTTATGCATTAATGTTATATCATTACACAGAGTGCCTACAGTCCTTGGGTGTTATTGCTATATTATTACACACAGTGCCTTCAGTCCTTAGGCTTTAATGTTATATCATTACACAGAGTGCCTTCAGTCCTTATGCATTAATGTTATATCATTACACAGAGTGCCTTCAGTCCTTAGGCATTAATGTTATATCATTACACAGAGTGCCTTCAGTCCTTAGGCATTAATGTTATATCATTACACAGAGTGCCTTCAGTCCTAGGGCATTAATGTTATATCATTACACAGAGTGCCTTCAGTCCTTAGGCATTAATGTTATATCATTACACAGAGTGCCTTCAGTCCTTAGGCATTAATGTTATATCATTACACAGAGTGCCTTCAGTCCTGGCAGGTGGAGGATAGGTCAGCAGTGTGGCTGCAGGTGCCCCTCACACACAGTCGACTGATTGCTGCTGCAGTAGACCATGGCTTCACATTTCACCATGCCGAGGGGGACAAGGCCATGCTGAAACTTTGGCTTCACCCTTCCCAGTCTGACAGGACACCTCGGTTTGCTACCCACCAAATTGGAGCATCAGGTACGTACAATAGTGGTATTCCAAAGTTTGCAATATTCCTGAAGACCTCATTTTATTTTGTGTGTGCATGTGTACATGCCAGATTGTTTTAATGTCCTCGAATTATTAAGTTGAGAGGAAAAAGAAAAAATATGGTGAGATTTTGGTACAGTCGTGTCATGTATTTATATTAATAGCAAGAAAAAATGTTTTTGTTGAACGTTTTGCTTATTTGTGTTTCCTTTTTACTTCAGGCTTTGTTGTCAGAGAAGATCTTCAACAGGTGCTTGTCATAAAAGATAAAAACAGCAAAGTAAGTAATGGAAGTTGAATAGTTCTTTAGGGTGGTTGTTTTTGTATTTTGGACTGCTTGCTTGCTACTGTTGAATGTGGACATGATGTCAAAATTTTACAGTAACATGTTTGCATTTCTGAGAAAGGTTTGCAGTAGTCAGAGACTCACTACATGGTGTTTTTTGTTGTGTTGTATTTAATTTCTTATCAATCAAAGATAAAGTGTTCAGGCAATTTAAACTAGTTTTCCTTGTCATTGTGGATTTTTTTCTGACATAAAAAACTGAAAAATAAACATGCTGAAAAATATCACCATTGCTTTTTTCCATTTTGAACTAACTCAAAGAAACTTCTGTGTTAAATAGTACTTAGTTCTAGCGAAGTGGTAAGTCAAGCTAATTTCATTTGAGACATTCAGAGCAGTATTAACTGTGAACTCGAATTTGATGTGTTTTAATCTGGCATTTAAAAGTTATACATCTTATACAGAGACAGTATGTTCACACAGGTACCAGTTACAATATATTGACTAGGACAGGGGCAACAGTATATATATCATGGGTGACAGTGGTACCATCTCCTGTAACAGCATGATTCAGGGGCTGAATATTGACATGTATTGAAGACAGACTGGCAGACATCCAGTGAAGATGCAGGTTACAATTGGTCTTCAGCAACCTGTGTGTGTGGAGAGGCTTAATTATCGATTGACTTATCGTGATTTTGATTGGTCAGGCCATGGCAAAAACTCAAGACCTATTCTAAGTTCTAACCTATCCTAGATCTTCACAGGACACATACCGACAGCATAAGGATCTGTGATAAGGCCAAAATGAGTGAAGCTCCAGTAAAATAACTCTAATGTGTTTTTTCCTTGTGGTGATTTTCTGACCCCGTTGCTCTTTTCAGTTTAATTTGTGGAAGTTCCCTGGTGGGTTGTCAGACCTGGGGGAGGATATAGGTAGGTATATTATTCACTCTTGAACAGATGCTCTTGAGTCCATCAGAGCCAGTGTAGACTCAGAGAGTATGGTAGTATATAGAGTTAAGAATAATTTTCCTTCCAAAATAAAAGTCTGCCCTCAATATAAGACTCACATTTATTCCCAGATAAAGTTATTATTAAGTTGTTTGCTTAAAAATATATATTGACTTAAAAAATCCCCAACCTCTGGTTATGTGAAGGTTAGATTTGGTATGTTTTCAATGTACAGCAATTTACTGATTGGATTCAGCATGGGAGGAACAAGGCACTGCAGCCCACTTTGTCGGGTTGACACGGTGACTGTACAGTTCACCCTGAATATGATGCGTTGTTGGTTAGGACCTGCGTCACCTCGGGCTTTCCTCGAAAAGGAAGCTGGCAAGCTGTGAAATAACTGGAGTAGACCCCAACTCACTCACTCATGTGACTTGTAGAAATATGTGTACTTAGTAAGACATGGAGGTCAAGCCACAGCAGGTGATAAGATCTCTAAAGTACTCACTGAAATAGAAATCAAATGTTTTTTGACATTTATTTCGTAGTTTTTAACACAACTAACTCACTCACTCATGTGACTTGTAGAAATATGTGTACTTAGTAAGACATGGAGGTCAAGCCACAGCAGGTGATAAGATCTCTAAAGTACTCACTGAAATAGAAATCAAATGTTTTTTGACATTTATTTCGTAGTTTTTAACACAACTAAGTTTCATTGTTAAATACTCTATGACCACTGTTTTTCCTAACTTTTGTTTCTAAAACACTTTGTAAAATCATCCGAAATAGATAAGTTTAAAGGAGAGTAAATCATGTCATTTTTACCCCTTGAAATTTCACCAGTCAAGATGTATTGTTTTGATATATGCAAAAGCATGCAAATGAGATGTACATAATATATTTTATTAAAAACGTCATACACCATTGATCCTTTATTCCTTTTATCCTAATTGATATACAAAATAATTGATTGAGGTATTTTCTCAGTACATTTTTCATGTCTGTACTCTTGTTGAACGTTTACTATTTTTACAAGTTCATTCATAGCTTTGATTGTCAACGCACGTGCAAATGCATCTTCCCGTCTTAACAGTGCTGTAGGTAGTAGTTACCACCCATTGTTGAATGTGACATAAGTTATAACATGTTTTTAAATTTGTTGATAATATGCAAATTTTGTTATTTTTAACTGTAAAATGGTATTTTGGATGAAAAGGATTAAAGGACCAAATTAAAAGGCCGAGTTATTTTATATTTGTTACATAGTTATTTTAATATGTTAAAACTACATATTTTAATGAAGTAATAAACAAATAAATGCCAAAAAACATTTTATTTCTATTTCTGTGAGTACTTTTGTGCTTCATGATTGGTATTTCTGTTAACTGAAATATATTTGTAATATACACCAGATATAGCACACTAACTCTTAGTCTCTGAATATGTATCATTTTGATAGGAACATAATATTCCTTTTTAATTGGCCCAGTGAGAAGGGTGATTAACCTGGGGAAATCTAGACTTGCTTCATTCAGGGCTTTAGCATTGCAGAAAGGGCTGGGCAGTAGGGAAAATAATGCAGTTCAGGGACTCTGAGACAAACTACAGATATAGCTGAAGTGTGGGAATGAGTGATTTTATGATGCTTTGAGTAATATTCCAGCATAGTTTGGGACACTTTGTAGACATTTGGTGAACTGAACATGGGACTTCAATTCTGTGTGACAAGGAAAGGCTTTAACCTTAGGACAACCCCACTTCTCTGGTGCAGCTGAAGTGTAACTGTGATTTAACATCTATAATGTCATGATGTATATCACTATAGTTCTTGTATAAAACTTATTTAACTATTGATAGCAATATGATTTTGTAGTATCTGACCAAAGGATGTACATTTTATACTGAAATGAAAGAACATTTAACTTGATGTCTTTCCTTGAATATACAGAAGTTTTGTGATTGTGAGATCAGTTCCGGTTCATAACCTCAGCAACAACTCACAAGGATCTTTCAGAAACATTTTTTAAGATTTAGGGCCAAACAAGCTACTTTGCCTTAATGGAGGGAGTAGGCTGTGATGTGAGGCTGTATAAACATTGCATATGAATCTGCCACCTCCCAAAATGTGAAATGTGACAAAAAAAGAAAGCTAATTGTATACATTCTGCCAACCAAACATAAGTAAACTGTTAAAAAACAAACTCATTTACTTTTGCTACCATTATAACTTATAAGTTAATTATTTAATGTAACTCTAATTAAAACCGATTTTGTTTTCATCATTAACATTTCAGAGTACAATGAATTATGACAAATATGTACCACAAAACACACACACCAAAAGTGTTAACTGGCTGTCTAAAACATGTTCATTTTCATCACTGACTCAAATGTACATTTTTTGGAAACTTTGGAAATTAAAATCAAACTTCAGATTTTATAAATCCCTAATCATCCAACAATGCACACAGTAATCCATACATTCTTTAATTGATATAATGCCATTCAAACTGAATATTGATCAATGATGCTGGTCTGTGAAGTGTACATAAAATCTTCAAAACTTGCCATCATCTTGTTCAGCCTCATTAACGTTTGCAGGTGTTGTGCCAGTATATCAAGGGTTCACTGTCAGTGTTCTCAAATGAGTCTGGTGATAATAGACCCCACAAGGATGTTACAATAAAAATACTGTTATTTATGTGAAAGAATGTGATGTTGGAGACATGAGCACATAACTTATCTGGCGCAGTCATGCCTGTTGGCTGTAAACAACATATATGGCTGTAAACAACATACATCATTTTCTTTAAGATGGATCATGTTTGAATGAATTTAAAAAGTATAAATATTTCTACAAATATTTACAACCTTCTTAGGGGCGGTGGGGTAGTCTAGTGGTTAAAGCGTTCACTCATCACGCTGAAGACTCAGGTTCGATATCCCACATGGGTACAATGTGTGAAGCCCATTTCTGGTGTCCCTGTCATCATATTGCTGGAATATTGCTAAAATCAGAGTAAAACCCAACACACTCACAACAACTTTCTTAATAATTTTTCAGTACTTTATGCCTATAATTCCGTAAAGCTGAGGGGTAATGCATACACAACCGAAGTTCACTTTACACTGTGGTTGTCTACATCATGTAGGGTGGTCACGAATATTTGTCGGAGAAGGATTAGTTGTTTAAGTTTGTGGTTGGTTTACAAATCCATCAACCTGAAAAATAGAAACAAAACATCTTAAAGTACCCTTCTTGATATTAAATGTAGATAAAAAAAAGTTGATATTGAATATCACTGTAAATGGTTTGTGTTGAAAGAAGATTCATTGCGAAAAACAAAATACAAAGCGTATGAAGTGATATAGATCAAAATGAGCCATGTTGATATCTATTTTTGCAGTGTGATAGGTGTAAAAATGGTGACATTCATGTGCCTTGTGAGTGCACTTAAGTGGCATAAATTTAGGAAACTGATAAAGATTATTTGCTGAACTTATATTTCAAGCACTGATATGCTCAAATGGAGACAATGTGTGTATTCTTTTTTTTACCACTAACATTGTCAAAGTATAACTGAAATCTGCAAACAAATCTACTTATCAAATGAACATTTCAGAAGAAGTTTTAGGATCGACCGACTCAGTAATTGTTTTGTTGCGAATGTAACCAGTAATCCACTACCTTTGTGTGTGACCTGTACAATATAAATCAGGACAATATTCACAGAGCCTTTTGAATTTCTTCATTTCATTCATTCACTCTTTGTCCTCACAAATGGACTCCCTCCATTGAGCCATGTTTCTATTAATCACACAGTACCTAAATGCCATTGTCATATGCCCTATAAAAATACCACAGCATTTGAAAAGAATTCAATGACTCCATCTTCACCCATAGCCGAAACACTGTTACTTTGTCCATTCCTCAATGACAGCGTAAGTCCCCAAATCCCTGTCTACTGCTTCAACTATTATTTAATGATGATAAATAGTTCCTAATCAAACCTCTTTGTGACTTCAAAGGTGTGAGTAGAACTCCACAGCTCAGCCTAGACACTCAGACATTTCAAGTAGAGAATTAGTATAGATAATTTCCAATCTACAATGGACGCATGTAAGACAGGGAACTCTCCTCTTTGATGTACAAAGCGTCGAAGGCATTTTGGCTACCACAAGGACCAGGTCAATGTTGTGGTAACATAGTCCTTGTTTTGACGTACGTGTTCGTCTCAAGTCTTGTTAGTTGCGGGTGTATCGGAAGATAATTCGCACCTCTTAAACAGGATAAAGGGAGATAATCATCCACTTAAACTAAGCTTTTGTTTCAACCAGTGAGTGAAGGAAAGTTATGTATTGGCTTTCTCTTATTATTCACAATGGAGATTCAAGTGAAAATCAATTCCTTTTGTCTTTAGAGTGACATTTTTTTGTGATATTTATGATAGCTGTTAGCTTAGAGGTCTGAGATAGCGTATCTTTTTTAATGTAAGATCTACATTTCTAGAATGTAATGTGGTGCGTATATCCCTGAATTGTGAGGATCTCTAAATGTATATCCTGACATGCTGTGATGTAACTGGTATACTGTTAAATACAGCATGAAACCAACCTCACTCACTCACTCACTCATCACTTCATGTAGGCAACACACTAACTTATACTATTTGTTATAAGACTCCTTATACATGACAGGTTGTAATAAATACCAAACCACACTAGCAGAATTATTCAATGGCTAATGAATAGTTAAACAGATGTAAACAAATATGTGTACACTTAATTAAACTTTAGGTAAGATGCCAAAGTGTGTTCATTGCTTTCAGAAAAATTAACCTTGCTAACTGCTCAATATGTCATTATCTACTGGCACCATCATCTGTCTTAGAACGGTAATGACAAATCATCCCAATTAACAAATATTGCTTATCAAACATTTTCGTGTTTGAAAATAAAATATGCAATGAGAATTTATTATCTTTTCTGATGATATCTAACTGAATGTCAGGCATCCTTACCAGAGCTTAACTTATTCTGTTAAATAAACCACACTTTGAATTGTTTGGATAAGATTTAGAAATGCAGTATTTTTTTCTGTAAGGCAAAAGAGATTTACATGCTCTTTCTTTCAAATAAATGATAAGCTTTGCAGTAGATATGAAGCTGTTTTTCAGGTTTATCGCTTCATCATAATATGCTCAATTAAGTGAGATAGAACATTTCTGAGTGTACGCAAGGCCTCATTCATTGGCAGACAGCCGCAATACATACCACACACCTTATAGAAGTGCAAGGTACGCATGTCTATTTCACTAAGTAAGTGGCAGCTGACTGCACAAGTGACAGGCCAGGATTAGAAACTTATGTTAATTATATACATACTTGACAGATTTGTCTGTACTGTGAATGGAGATCCATTAACGAGGAACTATTTGAAATATTATGTTTGTAATAGGGAAAAAAATGAATGAACATGCTACTTTTGTCAGCTAACTCCATATTGATAGCCTATTTATCTTAATCTATCATACTGTCACCCTTAATTTGCTACACCCATTAATTAAAAAAATGATCTGTTTAGCAATGAAATTGTTTCATGTCTGTGATAAACTAGTAACAGATGTTACATGTCTTGAACAGAAACAAGACTTATTATTCAGAAAACCTACATAGATTTGTTAACTATATATAGTACGAGCAGGGAGTGCCAAACGTATACACAATAATGAAGTATATATTTACTGAGGTCAAACAGTTGTTTAACAGGTTGTGAAGTATTTCCAGTGAGAAAACATTTTTTATGAAAGCAATATTTGAGATTGTTAGAGAATTTATAGTGTCCACATAGTGACATAGACTACTGTTTTTATGTAAAATATGTAGTGAAATGTGCACAATGATCTTTGAAAGCACCAGATAAATGTTCACCTCGTACAGCAAATATATGTATTTGGACCACTGATAGTCTGTCTCACAGTCCCGTAACCACATTATTTTCCTTACTGCCTACACTAACGCTTAGTCCCTGAATATATATAATTTTGATTGTAACAAATAAACCCATTTAAATTGAAAAGGGGCCCCGGGGAGATCAGCAGGGAGGGCTGGGCTGTAGGGAAAATAGTATGTTTCAGGGGCTGTGAGACATCCTACTTACTGCCTTGCCATCCCTGCAATGCTAAAGCTTTAAATGACGCAAGTCTAGATTTTTCAGGTTCTGAATCTCACATCTCACTGGAGCTCCTTTTCAATATAAATGGGTTTATTTGTTACTATCAAAATTATATATATTCAGAGACTATGCGTTAGTCTAGACCACTGAGAATCCTTGCATCACCTTTCACAGAATAGCGACCAACTGAGTGAATGATAGCAATGGTCCCTTGATGAAAGTGACAAGATGAATACAATAAACTAGCCAGCTTCATGATAAGACTAATACAGTGAGATTTATGGACAGATGATTCCTTCATAATAAAGATACAGTGCTAACAATATGGTTACATTAGTCAGAAAGCCGTCTTTGTTTGGTTGAAACTTTCTCCAATGTTGCAGTCGTAGGAGTGGAGAGAGTGATATGTGTGATAATAACCCAGTTTGAGGGAGACCATGTCGAAGCTAAGATCCTCAGACCCTTCAGTTGAAGGATGAGCTTCTGGCCAGACAGATAAAGTGTGACTGTATTGGAAATAAACAATGTAATCTTCAGGGCCTGTCTGTTGTGGGAAGACTAAAGATTGTAATATATGTCTGTACATTTCACACGTTTTTGATCCAGTGTCATGTACTAGGCTTTATGAAACATGTCTATCTCAATTACGCTGTTCTAAGTGCTTGTTTCCATGTACTCTAAGATACCCACAGTGACAGTCTGACATGTAATTGCCATTCTATATTGTCACCTACGCAGGAATGTGTGCATACCTACCTTTGTACTTACTTGATACAGGCCAACATCAAAGGAATATTACACCTACAAACATATATACTTAAGTTAATCTCAAATGTAATATTCTTTTTACCCTGTCCATTTCCTAGGAGTAGTAGTTATGCTGCTAATGTAATAATCAATGGCAATTGTGTTTCTTTTATAAAGCTTTACCTTTTCTTGTCTGGGGGATAACTATGTTATTGGCATGAAGGTAATACTGTACAAGACTTATCACCTAGCGGAGGGGTGGAGAGATTCGAGGGGGCAGACAAACATTGATAACACTGGTGTTGTTGTCAGGCTGCAAGGGGCATGTGTGACCTGTTGGTGTATGTCACTGTATCTCATGCAGGAGAGTTTGATTCCCCAGCTGATTCATACATAGGTTCTGGGTTTCAACAATGTCTACAAAGTGCTTCACTTTAGGAGTGCGATGGGGTAGCCTAGTGGTTAAACCGTACGCTTGTCATGCCGAAGATCCAGGTTCGATTCCCCACTCGGGCACAATGTGTGAAGCCCATTCTGGTGTTCCCCACCGTGATATTGCTGGAATATTGCTAAAAGCAGCGCAAAAATAAACTCACTCACATTAGGGCCTTACTCCCACATTTAACAGACCCTTCATAACTAACACATTATTACTGAAATAGCTTACACCTGAAAGTGGCATTAAATTCATTCACTTACTCACCCTCTAAACCCCCTTGATAAAAGGATTGTCAACCCCAGTATTGTGTATTTATTTATTGTACATACTTGGTGTATGTTTCCCAATAGCTGAACATCTTTTGACTGGCCACTTATCAATCAACTGACTCACTCATTTTCCCATAAATTCAACAGCTGACCCAAAGATCCCAGACCAGCTCACCCGCTCAACCACTTGCTCACCACTTACCCACTTACTCACCCTATCTCTCAACTGCTCATCACCACACATACCGCTCACCCTACAATCCATTCAGTCACTCAACTGCTCCACCAATACTCTCTCATGAACCCATTCTCTTACCAACCCACACAACCGCAGACCAAAAACCCTTGCCCACCCATCCACTCACTCACTCAACCACTTCCCATTATTCACTCACCAACCCACACAACCACAGACCAAAAACCCTTGCGCACCCATCCACTCACCCACTTCCCATTCACTCACTCATTGTTTTTTGTTGTAGGTGATACTGCAGTAAGAGAGGTATTTGAAGAAACCGGTGTTAAATCAGGTAACTGAATTATGTATACATATTCTTCTGAATAGGTATGAATAGATTCCTTGAGGTGCAATCCACGTCAGGCACACCCACTACAAGAAACTTTACACAGGGGGGATCATGGCCACTTACTCACTTATCAGCCATTTGAACAGTGAACATTGTCTTTGTGAATATTAACTATTTCCACAAGATCTTGTCATGAGCAGACCATGAACACACAATGCTGTTTAGGAAGTGGTCAAATGTAACATGTCATATTTGGGATTACACTTTCATAGTACAGATGCTAGTTCTTTTGTTGGGTTGAGTCCCATCTGGGATTCGAACTCACACCATCAGAGCACACCATCGCCAGCACACAAATTCAGCCATCTAACCCACTCAGCCATCACAATTGAGGCAGACCATCGTTGTTTTGTTTTATGGACAGTTTCCGAGATCCCAATTCCAAGACTCTTAAGACAAGTAAGTGTGTTAGAATTGATTCACGGTAAAACATTTATTCAAATAAAAGTTAAACAATGATACAAACGAGCAGGAAAATTTATATAACTTCAATTAACCCTACATTTTATATTAGATTTAATATATTTTGCACATGTAGGAAGATGTAGGAAGATAAGAAAATCTAGAATAATCTTTTTGAGGAATATGTCTTTAATGTATTTGGGACAATTTACACCAACAGTTGTAAAAGTATTTGACCTAACGCTTATAAATTTCCTTGAAAATGTACTGTTCCTTTGATTTAGTCAGGTTGATAAACATGTGATCTACCTGCCATTCACACATCATAGGTAGTAATGATTGTGCTAAACATGCCACGTGTTATCTTCAATTTGTTATGAGAAACCTACTTATACCTGAAGGATATTTACAAAACAAACTTTACAGGATAATTAGTTTTGTCACATTGTAATACTCGCACATCATCAGAGTCAGAGAGACATCACCCAGGAGAAGTACCACCAACTGCCACACCTCAATGAGATAACCTCTGTCAGACACTGACACCTCTGCTTCAAGCTTGTCACCTCAAGAAGCATTGAACTATCATTGGCTCTCTACAATAGGTTGTGTGGGGAAGGAGCTGGGCTTTGGCAGCCATGCTTTCCAAATATCTCATTATGATCCGAATGCGAATGTAACGGAGCAACAAGGTGATGTTGACAGCAATGCTGGTGATGACGGCACTATGGGCTAATGACTATGACCCAAATTTTGTTACCTTTATGATGTTGACACAATGCATGATGGCATGACCATGGTTCCAATGGTGATGTTACAAACAATTCTGATTGTGATATTATGACAGTACTGATAGTGCCTGGTGTTGTGACATTACTGTTGGAGACATGTGTTGTGACATTACTGTTGGAGACACCTGTTGTGACATTACTGATGGAGACACCTGTTGTGACATTACTGTTGGAGACACCTGTTGTGACATTACTGTTGGAGACACCTGTTGTGACATTACTGTTGGAGACACCTGTTGAGACACCTGTTGTGACATTACTGTTGGAGACACCTGTTGTGACATTACTGTTGGAGACACCTGTTGTGACATTACTGTTGGAGACACCTGTTGTGACATTACTGTTGGAGACACCTGTTGTGACATTACTGTTGGAGACACCTGTTGTGACATTACTGTTGGAGACACCTGTTGTGACATTACTGTTGGAGACACCTGTTGTGACATTACTGTTGTTGCTGTGACACCTGTTGTTGTGACATTACTGTTGGAGACACCTGTTGTGACATTACTGTTGGAGACGTTGTTGACATTACTGTGACATTACATTGTTGGAGACACCTGTTGTGACATTATTGACACTGTTGTGACATTACTGATGATGACACCTGTTGTGACATTACTGTTGGAGACACCTGCTGTGATGCTGAAGACACCTGTTGTGACATTACTGTTGGAGACACCTGTTGTGATGGACACCTGTTGTGACATTACTGATGATGACACCTGTTGTGACATTACTGATGATGACACCTGTTGTGACATTACTGATGATGACACTGTTGTGACATTACTGATGACACCTGTTGTGACACCTGTTGTGACATTACTGATGATGACACCTGTTGTGACATTACTGATGATGACACCTGTTGTGACATTACTGATGACACCTGTTGTGACATTACTGATGATGACACCTGTTGTGACATTACTGATGATGACTGACACCTGTTGTGACCTGTTGTGACACCTGTTTACTGATTGATGACACCACCTGTTGTGACATTACTGACACCTGTTGTGACATTACTGTTGACACCTGTTGTGACATTACTGATGATTGTGACACCTGTTGTGACACCTGTTGTGACATTACTGATGACACCTGTTGTGACATTACTGATGATGACACCTGTTGTGACATTACTGATGATGACACCTGTTGTGACATTACTGATGACACCTGTTGTGACATTACTGATGATGACACCTGTTGTGACATTACTGATGACACCTGTTGTGACATTACTGATGACACCTGTGACATTACTGATGATGACACCTGTTGTGACATTACTGATGATGACACCTGTTGTGACATTACTGATGACACCTGTTGTTACATTACTGATGATGACACCTGTTGTGACATTACTGATGATGACACCTGTTGTGACATTACTGATGATGACACCTGTTGTGACATTACTGATGATGACACCTATTGTGACATTACTGATGATGACACCTGTTGTGACATTACTGATGACACCTGTTGTGACATAATGATGATGACACCTGTTGTGACATTACTGATGACACCTGTTGTGACATTACTGATGATGACACCTGTTGTGACATTACTGATGATGACACCTGTTGTGACATTACTGATGATGACACATGTGACATTACTGATGACACCTGTTGTGACATAATGATGATGACACCTGTTGTGAAATTACTGATGACACATGTAACATTACTGACGACATCTGTTGTGACATTACTGATGACATCTTTTGTGATATTATTGATGACACCTGTTGACACAACTGATATTGACACCTGTTATGACATTACTGATGATGACACCATTTATGACATTACCAATAATAACACCTGTTGTAACATTACTGATGACACTTGTGATATTACTGATAATGACACTTTTTTGGCATTACTATTAATGTTACCTGGTGTGATGTTACTGATAATGACACCTTTTATGACATTACCAATGTCCCCTGTTCACGTAACTGTTGTTACACAACTGACAGGGTAGCCTGGTGGTTAAAGGGTCGGCTCGTCACGCCGAAGGCCCAGGTTTGAATCCCCACATGGGTACAATGTGTGAAGCATATTTCTGGTGTCCCCCGCAGTGATATTGCTGGAATATTGCTAAAAGCGGCGTAAAACCACACTCACTCACTCATAGTATTGTCGCCACACTACCATATCAGTGTGGTGGTGCGAGGGAGATTTACTGTACATATATCTTAATAGGTCCTAATGCTTCGGTCGGAGAAAAATGGGTTAGAATTGATCTTTAGTAGTCCATGCTTGTCGTAACAGGCGACTTACGGGACCGGGTGGTCAGACTCGCCGACTTGATTGACACATGTCATCATATCCCAATTGCGTAGATCGATGCTCGTGCTGTTGATCACTGGATTGTCTGGTCCAGACTCGATTGTTTACAGACCGCCGCCATATAATTGGAATATTGCTGAGTGCGGCGTTAAACAACAATCAACCAACCACCCAAACCAATGCTTCGCTTGAAAACACAATGTACTTTTCTGTCATGAGTCTTTATCAAACAAAGGGTACAGAAATATGCGCAGTAGTGTATCTTTCACCTTCACGCCACACAACCCCATTTACTTGGTCACACGGTTTGACATTACGTGTGGTCTATTATGGTCTCCAGATATCACGTGGGTGCGCCGTCAAAACGTGTGCTAGTTTTTCTGCGAGCATAATTTACAACAACTTACGATAAGAAAAGTCAATATACCAAGGACAAGATAGGTCAACCTGCGGACTTACACAGCCTACTGTTATCGTCTAACAGGAACTAACCCACCTTACGAAACGTTTGGAAGTTACAGGGGAGATAACTCCCATTTAGGATATAATATTCAGCAACTACTTGTCGGAGACAGTGCAACGTTCGTCCTTGGGCTCGGTCCATTCATATATACACTTCATTCATTCCCTCACTTCAATGTTTATTTTACCTACATAATGTTCTGACCTAGTCGCATTATTAAAGACACAAAGATTCAAAGGTGTTTTCTTGCGTGCTCACAATACATTTCTTCTATGGCCAAAATGGAAAGATTTAAGACATCCAAGCCAATGATATCCTCCTAAACTATATCAAGCGATTATATGTGTGTAGAGGTGTATTTAACGAGTGTGGAATATTTTATTTTTACTGAAGGGATTATGAGTCTGCCTAAATCACATTATGTTTGCCATAAAATGTCGGAATTTGTTTGCCAAGCACGTGTCTCCCGAGGTCTTTTCAATGAACAATACTGTAAGCCGTAGTGTGCCTATCAACGCATTGACGCTCCCATACTCGTATTGCGCATAAGCCGACAAGTTGAGCCGATCGGAGGCTCCGAAGTTCAATATCGGCGATCATGTGATCGATCATTCATACTAACTCAGAGTAATGTATACTTTATCAAATTCCAAATTCGATCCTTCTAAATAGTTTGTATACCTAGAGGGGAAAGGATATAGTTTCATGGTGGATTGTCCAGCCATTCCCTCAGCTTTTGGTTGCTGAAATACAGAAAACCTAAAAATATCTCTTTGGTATTTTCGTTGGAGGATCTTAAATCTGCAAACACAAATGAATGTTTGTAAATTGATTGTAAACCTGGATTGAGACCCTTCTTTGGATTATGAATGTTTCTCAGATTGGGTCTGTGACAGTGACAAGTGCATGGTGTTTCACGTTCCACAAACAGAACGGATTTAGTGTTCCAGATACCTTCCAACTGTTATACAG